TGGAATTAGGAGAGAACAAAATACTTAATGCTGATCTATTAGCCTCCACTGGCAAAATCTGGGTGCAGCACAAGAATATCTTCCAATATTCCTGAGTGTATGAAGTAATTACAGAGCTCAAAATACCTCATACCATTTGGTATGAAGTCACTGATAACAGGACAATCACAGATATAGTGTTGGAGAGTATGTTCTCTCAAGTAGGACTGAAAACAGATGTTTTTTTTCCACCAAGAGGGCTATAAACCCATGGAACCGCCTACCCGCTGAAGCCGTAAATGCCAAATTCCAGCTAAAAAATATCATTAAGACAATTGGGGGGGCCTTTAACAAGCCGCCGGCTTTCTGTCCTCTTCGAGGCCACTACATAGTTAGTGGCCCTTGGGTAAATTCAGTAAATATATACAATAATTGTCAGTGCATCTTCCGAGCAACAAGGACAGCTACACAGTATCTCTTAGAATTACGTAGGTAAACAACAAATGTAACATATTTGTTTACTACAATGTCGGTGCTGGCTGTAGAAGTTGAAAAAACATTGTTTTACTTCGAAATATACTAATTTATAAGAAAATTCGACGTAAATAGGAGGCAGTAGAGCTCCGATAAGCCAGCGCCAAATCTTCAATATGAAGAATGTTGCTGCTCTCTGATTGGCCAAACGAAACACAGTAGTGACCTCTATCGGCACGCAGGTGAACCAACAATTTTCTTCCTAAGCATACCTTATTGAATCGCACCTAAGCATCTTCTTAGGGTGCACTTAGGAACCTTCGTAGCAAACCCACTTACGAAGAAATACACAGAGCTTCCTGAATCTAGGTCCAGAAGTTTTGAGCGAGAGGAGGCTTTGTCAATCCTCGCCTTCGTTGTTGAACTTGGTCTTGATGGACTGACAGTTCTTTAGGTGGCAATTGCGAGGCGTATACTCACAATGCACCCTTGGGAGGGTGCATCGTGCCACTGAAAGATCCTGCATGACAATTACAAATGGAGACGCTTACCTGATAATTAGTGGCGTCAAAACGACGTCAACGCGACGTCGAATGCATGACAATTACGAATGGAAACGCTTACCTGATAATTAGTGGCATAAAAATGACGGTAAATCGACTTCAACGCGACGTCAGAACGACGTCGAATGCGACGTCAGAACGACGTCGAATGCGACGTCAGAACGACGTCGAATGCGATGCAGAAGAACATGACAATTACAAATGGAAACGCTTACCTGATAATTAGTGGCGTCAAAACGACGGTAAATCGACGTCAACGCGACGTCGAATGCGACGTCAGAACGACGTTGAATACGAGTCCCTGAAGTAGAGAGTCCCTGAAGTCTTCCGCATACCACTGTAACCGGCGCTGGGAAACAGTTCTGGTGAGGTTAAGTATTGGCCATACATGTTTAACTCATGGGCACTTAATGGAGCACCGCCCTGCTCCTTATTGTCCAAACTGCAATGTCCCTCTTACGGCCATGCATATCCTTGCTGAATTTCCAGACTTCCATGACGAACGTGTCTTGCTTCCCGACCGTCCCTCGCAGTCACTTGTCCCTCGATAGAATTCTTGGTGAATCGGATACCTTTGATATCGTTCGTCTTGTGCGTTTCTGTTCTCATATTGGCATCCTTAGTGATATTTAGCGCCTTGTGATTATTCCGCACATTTGATGGTCCTACATAGCCTTCCCAGCTTGGTGCCTTCTTTTGATAACTACATTTATCATGCCCGAAACGCTTTGCGTAATAGTGGCTTTAGGCATTGTATATACTAGCTCTACCTATAAGTCAACCAATCTTTGTAAAAATTTATTGTATGTATGTACCTTACCTAAATAAAATATTATTATTATTATATTATTATTACATACTTAAAACAAAATATTGGTCAAGAGTAAATAATTAACACAGGGCAGTAGCAAACCATTATGGAAAAAAAACAAAACAACAAATGGATTACATTAAGACCAGAGTCAAAGAAACTTAAATGATTCCAAGCAAAACAAAATTTACACGTTAAAATCTGGCCATTTAATAAGATATTTGTATCCTATTTTTGGTTCAATGCAACCAGAAAAAAAAAGTAGTCCTCAGGTCCTTGGGGAACACCTTCAAACTGTTGAAAGAGTTCGAGAAAGCAGCACCAACCCTCACTTTTAAATGAGTGATGAGAGAGAGAAAGAGAGAGGAAGTCTTGAAGGAAAAGCAAACTGCTATGATGGCCAAAAGAATATAGCTGGGCTAAAATTCTGTATCTCCATGTGGTGTCATAAGCTTTCTCCAGGTCAAAAAAGAACTGTCACCATGGAGGAATTCACAGCAAAGGCAACATGACTGTAGACCTTCAAGTCCACCAAAATATGATGTGGTGTGACATTTGCAAAAACCAATTTGGGAAGGTGGGAGGTACGGTAGGTAGCAAAGACATTCCAGGAACCATACAAGACGTACATTATCACATTAATCATACACTTAAGGAGTTTGCAGATACAACTTGTCAGGGCAATGGGACAAAAATCCTTAGGGAAAATCCTTTGAGTATCAGGTTTCCTAATAGGAAAAACAACTGCCTCAAGCCAGTCATTAAGACTGAAGAAAACACTCAAATATCATTATAGATATGCAGCAAATCCTGCAAGAAGTACAGAAGATGACGGAGCATCTCATTGTAAATCCCAACCAAACACACTGTCATAGATTTGCAGAGGGACATGGAGGACTGCAGGTCAGAAAGGGTGAAAAGTTCATTATAAGGTAGGCAGAGGCTAGACACAGTCTGGCTTATATACTTGTTGTTTGGTTGCTTTGACCCTGACACTGTTCACCATCCTACCGGTGTGAATGGTTGTCAACATATTCACTTCTCTGTCTTTCAAACACACTGCAAGTATGTTATTACTATTTTTTTTATTTTTTAGGTGACATCTACTGAAATATTTTCATCATGCCCTAATGCTTTCTTCCATTGTGGCTTTACTGTGTCACACACTCCAGTTTCATGTTCAAGCAGGAATCTAGCAAGGAACTGGTATAATAATGGTGTATAAAATGTGGCCCTTTGCTCAGCAGTGGAGCCACCATTGTCTTTACTACACTTCCTGATAAAACCTAAGGGTCGTTATTGGGAATGTCTACATAGGTACTAAGAGTTTCACAATTACAAAGTACAAAGAATTTCAGTGCAAATCTGTGGCATTTGGAGGGATTATACTGTCTGAAAGCAAGACATCCTCTGAAAACAACAAGTGACTTGTGACCTGGTGTGTGGAAATCTTTGCACTTCTAATTCAGTCCATTGAGGATGTGCCTCACCTTCCAAAATCTATCATTCCAGTTTTCACTATTTTCGAAATAAATACACCTGAGAAATAACACGATACTGTACAGTTCCCGGTGTGAGAACACATTTCCCTTAAATAGGCGATGAGACAGAATTCTTTGTCCGAATAGTCCTGGATGACGTGTTTCACCAAATTTTTCATCATATACAGTGCAAGAAACAATTTCACAGTCTTTCCAATGCTGCAAATCTTGAATGTGGTAATATTTCCTCAGTTTCAATGAGCTTGGCCACATATTTGTTCATTCCTTTAACAATATGTTTCGTAAGTGGCTCATCAAAGCATGCCAGAAAATACTCCAATTCGCTTAGGTCTACATCTACAAATCCCCCTACATCTGTAGCATCACATGTAGGGATTTGTGGATACACCATTTTCCCACAGGCGTATACCCGCTGTTCTGCTGGAGGCACCACCAACACCACAGCCATGTACCCTAGCCTCAACAAATCTACATTGGCTAGATGAACCCATCTACTACACACTGTCGGCACAAACAGATGATGATGATGATGATGATGGTATACAAGTCGAAGACGAGGGCATTCTTCCTTCAACTTCCCCATGCGACATCACATGGTTGCGCTTAGCTGAGTGAGCAGCTGATGCAGCAAGGTACACCTGGTAACACCATATATCAATATCACAAGCCACAGCACTGCTAAAACTACAGTATTACCAAATTCCACATCACTAAATCTGGAAAATAAGTCATCTTTCACATGTTCATGGCACAAACGAAGAGTATGTTGAACAGACCAACATGACCTGTCTCAGGGTGGTGTGGAGTGAGGCCACACGGGAATAGTGATGGTGTAGGCTTGAGCTCTGGGACACACACACACATGCATCATTATCACCGTCTGTACCACTTCCTTCTGAGCCTTCAGCATGACCTTCATCCTTGAAGATGAAGGGCATGGTCACTGGGCAACGACCCAGTGATGGGCGATTACTGTATTATCATAGAGGAAGATTATTGTCCTGTGACTTACTCTTACAGTGAATTTCGGCTTTTGCTCTTGCATACGTTAATTGCCTGCACTGATGACCTGCATTATGACACTGCAGCACCCTTGAGCGTTGCAAGCAGTTGCAAGTGACTAAATTGAACCACGATGATAAAAGACAGGTGCCATATCTGGAACAAATTTGCCTACAACCTACAAACCATCCTTCATATACCAAGTAGAGGAGTGTTCAAACTGACAGTGGAAATGTAAGATATCCAACTCTCTCATTTAGCTGAACACCACAGGCACTACAGGACACCATTCCGGACTTGCAAAACCGAATAAAAGAATTGAACCTCTGCCAATGCTGGCCTTTTTTTGGACTGCATGCTTACACCCGATCTTATGAATTAGTGGGATGAAGCTGCTATGAATGAAGAAGCAGAATGCTACTGGGAGATTACTGCTGGAGTGTGGTGGTGCTCATTCATCCATGATGCTATACATATTAGGGAGATTATACAATTATATAAAATGATTATACACATAAATGAATGATACAGTATATTATTTAATACCAATAACTTTCATCCAGTATACAATAGAGCATTATGTCCCCCTTTATTCCTTGGGCTTCCTCATTCCATGACATGATAATAAACTTCAAATTTTGAATTACTTATGGGTTAGTAAAGATACACTGATAATTTAAAGTTTATATTACTTTCCAGTTACATAAATACATTGAGAGTTGCAGTAGTTTACATTCACCTACAGTAGGCCACAGTAAAGTACAGCATTGTGTGGTACTTTACGGTAAAATATAACGCGAGACACATCGTACCAAAATTTTTTAGGATATACTCTACAGTGTTACCCTTAAAAGTAGGTGGAGTGTACTAATAAACTTTTGTAATAAACTATTTTATTTACTGCTAAATAAAACTATGGTGCTATTACTTCACATAAAACTATTACTTCAACCAACAAAAAATAGTCCATACTTAACATACCATTGATATAAATGTCCCATATTACAATAATACAAGTTCATGCTTTTATAACATTTCATGATCAAATTAGTCTTCACCGGCTGGTATAGCATCTTCTAATCTTTTCACAAACTTAACGCGAATTTCTGTTACGTTGTCGCCCTTCAACTGGTCTGCGATGAACCAGGCCATTACTTCCAGCTGTACCTGTTCAAAGTTATTAGTTATGTACTTATACAAAAAAATAGGATATTCAGTTTAATGATGCGGGCAGTGACTAAGCAATTAGCATATGAAAAATAAATACTGGCAAAATATGACATGCATTGTTCCATTTTTTATGATAAAAATAGACAATTCTATAGATTCATTGCTCTCTGGAGGAATTGCATTTTCTGTTCAGGGAGCCGACAAGCTCCCTACAGAAACAATGTCATCCAGAGCAAGGTGGATGGCATGCAGATAACAACGAACCAACACATCTGGACAACAAAAGATGCAACCCCAGGCAAACAAATCAAGAATATAACAAATTAACAATCTACTCTGGAAGCTAGCTGTGAAGAAACTCAGAAAACCAGATAAAGCTCAGAACCGAGTCCTATGCGAGCCCCACGAGGAACACCTAAACCAATGGGACTCCTACCATAAGGATGGTGCCAACACAGCCAAACCTGCAAGGATTCTGCAGGGAAGAGTAACCAACACAGCCAAAAACCTCAAAGCCAAATGTGGACTAAGCCCACTTCCAGAAGTGCTAAGTGCCTGGAACAGGCTAGGGAGGAGGTGCACAGGTGCCCTGCCTTAGCCAGCTGGCAAAAGAAAACAAGCAACAACTGGTGACGACACACAAGGCGTACTCTAAAGAGAGCACATGAAGTGCATCAAAACAACCCTGAATGCATCCACAGCAGCAGAAAACACTAAAAAAAAAAAAAAGACAAATGGTATGGTCCTGTGAGAAAACACAGACAGAAGCCTGACTGGAGAATACCTTACAGTGGGATGAGATGCCCTGAAGTCCTCCCATATGGCCCAGAATCGGAAGTGCTGCAAGATGGAGTGAATCATTCCTGCAATGAGGCACACAAATCAGTATCGGTCAAAACACAAGACATGTATTGCCAAAGTGAGAACCGAGAGCAAGGGCAATGCCTCCATATGAGACACAGGCACAACAGGTCATCCATCTTGACTAGGAGTCAGTGAACCACAAAATCCAGCACCCAAAGTACAGTACAATGGAAAACAAGAAAACGTCTGATAAGCAACAGCAATGCCAGACAGAGGCTCGGTGAGCCCCATAGATGCTCAACTCTAATAAGAACAGCAGGAGCCACCAACTTTGAACACCAAATCCAAAAACTGGCCCCAATGTACTGTACAGGGTGAGAACAGGCTGGGCCAGCCAAAAGCACAGCAAGCCTCACAGACGCTCAACTCCAACAACGAGGAACACAGCCTTTGGCTCAGGTGCTGCTGAAAATACACTGCAACGTCTGACAACTACAGCCATCAAGACTTCTGCTCAGAGGATAAAAAAAAACCACAAGGCCCAGATGCACTCCACAGCAGAGGGCAGATGGCAAATCAACCAGCCTAACTGAGAAAATTTTGTACTGTAATAACAATCCTTAAAATGTACTTTACAGTATTTCAATTTTATGTACAGTAAAAATATTCTTGGTTCTGAAAAACATCTAATTTTATTAAACATTTCCTATATCCTAGATAAAGCTCTGTAATATCAAGATTGTACTTTTATCAATATATTTAACTGAACAACTCAGTATTTGATTTCTCTTCACAAACACATTAACTTGCATTAAATAAAATTCCCATTTCCCGAGTGTTGGACTGGGTTTGAAAATATAACACATAACACTGTTCTTATCATTTAAGTCATAAAGAGAACCAGAGATAAATCCTACATACCATTTCACATGCTCCACGAATGACTCCAGCTAGGATGTTGGAGTAACGAAGACCAAGACAGTGGTCTGGCAATTCCACAAACTCCGCCATTGGATTTGTCTCGAGTACTACTGAAAACTCGTCTCCTCCTGGACTCCAGCTTCCTATGCTTGGTGACACTCCCAGATACAACTTGAAGGCTTGCTGAAACAAACAAGGGAGATCACTGTAAACGCCTTTACTATTTCTTGTTCTACACGGACTTCTGATAACAAAATTTAAAACTAAAAATTATACCCTTTTTTATTTCAGATTTTGTATTTGACTTAGTAGCCGTACAATACATATGTACATTGGAGCAAAATGACACTTAGTTGTGCCTGCTTAACCCCTGCACTGCGCACCTGTTTTTGGCAAAAACGTCATAGTGCAATTGTTAAGGACATACTTTTGTTGTTTTTATAAATGGTCAGGTAAAGTTTATGTCAAAATGTTTCCAAACTCAACTATTTTCATTTCAAAACACCAAGAGTTATGAAAACATTAGAAAACATTAAAAAATAGCCCAAGTAAAAAAAAAAAAAATTGCACAACTCTCAAAACGACATTTGTTGTTTGGCGCAGTGCAGTGGTTAATTCTCATTATTCTGATGCCACTTGGATGGATTGTAGGCTACCTATGGGTCCTTAAAAAAGTATGGACATTCTAGATTTCCTCCACCTCACCTCTTTCTTGCCTTACTTATGTCTGTGCCTTTCTTGTCTCCTCACAATCGCCTTGATAATGTTCCAGGATGGACCGAAAATTGTAGTCTCTTAAATTTCTAGTGTGTGGTTTGGTCAACATACTTCAGCCACGTTATTGTGACGTTAAATGTGATTGTAAAACATTCTTAACTAGAATAATATAAAAGTAAACTAATACAAGATTTATTTACTAAGAGTTTATAATGAGGAATATCTTGATATTTTATCATACAATATTGACTAAAGTTCATATTGACAAAATTCTTAAAAGTAGGGTGGTTTTTGGTATATTACAATATACCAAGAATTTGTATATTACAGGTACCCTCAACATATACATATATTATACTGTATATTACAATATAGAGTAATTGTTTTAGCCTTTCCACAGATCTTTGGGAAGAATTTTAATCAAGGAATTCTGATTACATTGTGATATAAAGTGTGATTTGAGTCTGGATTTGAACACAGAGTTTAGGTTAATTTTGAAGGTTGAGAGGCAGTGTGTTCCACATACTGTATTGCATTCTACTGAACAACTCCTGAAATAGACAGAGTTCAGAGTGTGTGGAAGAGACGAGTGGGAGTTTCAACTTTAATCAGAATCACATGCACAGAGAAATCTCACTAGATTCTCTTTAATCAGACTCTTAGGGGGGTGATGAATATTTTCTTTTCTGTACATATTTCTTTTACATATTTACACATGTAAGTACAGTATATTAGGAGTAGAATTGATAAATGAATCGTGTCAGGCAAATTATTTAGTTGGTACTGAGCACAGGGTGGTTCAACATGGTTCTGTTTGTTCATACTAATATTTTCCTTAATTTTTAAAATGCCACATATACATCTTGGATATTTTTGTCAAGATGCAAAAACTTCTAGCAATCACGGGGCTTCCTCCAGAAAAGGAGGGCTGAATACCAGTTCTGCAGCAGGACCTAGGACACCATCATGAAGGCTCAAGTATCGCAGGTCAAAGACCCAGAGAAAGGGGCTAGATGTTACCTTGAGGTTACCTTGAGGTTACCTTGAGGTGCTTCCGGGGCTTAGCGTCCCCGCGGCCCGGTCGTCGACCAGGCCTCCTGGTTGCCGGACTGATCAACCAGGCTGTTGGATGCGGCTGCTCGCAGCCTGACGTATGAGTCACAGCCTCATGACAATGTTACCCATAGCATTGTCAAAATAGAGCAAACTGCAAAGAAATGGGCACCACCGAATGCCTACCTTAACCGGAAAAAGGCAACGCCCAAACCCCCAAAACCACCACCTCCACACAGAAAGCTGCAAAGACAACTGCTGCTGACAATACACAAAACAATCACCACATGAAACATAAATAAAGGGAAAGGGTAGGCAGACACCAGGGAGAGTAACTCAGCAAAATCCAAATGAGGGCAAGTAAGGACAGCTCACCAGTAATCCAACCAATCCAAAGAGAAATCACTGCCACCACCTGTACGATGGGGTCAAGAACTAGGGCACAACCATTGCAGCCCCAACTGGATAATAGGATGCAGAAAACCTGCCACCGAACTCGGGTAACCAGGCCACCCCAAAGTCAACTGGAGAACAGCTCCAGGATAGACCAAACTTGAAGCACAGGAGAACTCAGAGACAAGTAAAGACAAAAATGCATCCCAGGACAGGGTACGAGACGAGAGTCAAGCAATCCAAAGGATCAGGCACTTTGATATAGCCAAAAACTAGCCCAATCAAATGCCACATAAATGATTGTGAACTGCAAACAGTGAGCCAAGCCCCTAAAGAAGACATGATGTCTGCAAGCCAGAAGGAAACCTGGGCAAGACTGCCTACACAAATGTTAGGGACAGATTAGATGTCAGAAACCTGCGCAAAAAATGGTGAATCCAGGAAATTAGCCAGTACCAAGAAATGAATGCAATTAAGGAACAAACCTGAAATGGTGAGAGAGAAAGAAAACACTTCAGTATGTAGTGATTACTCCTCAATGATGCACCAAAACTAAGAAGAACTGAACACCATTCACAAATCCACCACAGGCTCCTCCTCCAACTATGGGCCTTTCCCTAATGAGAGATGACACAGAAGAACCAGGACCCATGTCAGATGCCAAGAACAGATAGGCATCCTCCACACACAAGGGAGGATCCCTACACCCCCTCTGAAACACCCAGAATGAAAGGCAACAGACCCCAGATGGGAAAAGAACGGCTCGGCTCCCAAAAGAACATTTTGGGAGCAAGGAAGGGGCAGCCCCTAGAGACAAACCCACAACCCTCAAACAATCTCCAATCCTGGACCCCAAAACTTAAAAACAGCCTGGGCCCAAACAAGGGAGGGGGAAAAAAAAAAAAGAGATATCTGGCTCAACTACAGAAGAATGGGGCAGAAGAATGTAAAAACCAACTCTGGTTTTATCAGCCAGTATCCAAGCTAGCCTAATAATACAAAGAACCCCCCCCCCCAAACAGCAGTTGCCTAAGCATAAAGTACGATGCCAGAACAGTGAAACGCACCTGCACACCATTAGATTGCTTATTGATGGGTAGAGCAGAAGAGGATATGGTAGGGGAGGGCAAGGCAGGGTGAGGTAGAGTAAGGTAGGGCAGGGTCATGCAGGGCAGAGAGATTAACAACTGCAGAAAAGATAAGGCCACCATGAAAGGAAAACCAGCCAACCAGCATGGAAACATGAGCTCAGTACAGCCCAAGATAAAGGAAGTGCCCAGTGCGCAAAAATCCCTTCTTACAGGTGCAGATTCAATACACATGCGAAGCATGGCCGAAAACAAAAGCAACAATGCACAAAAGACAACATGACAAAAGCCAGGAAACATAAGTAAAACCCAGAGGCAGCCGGTGGAGCCAGTAGTAGTGATAAACAGCAAAGAAAATAAACTGATAGCACCCCCAAAAACCCACAAACAGTAAGAGAAGGCTCAGTGAGCAGGACCACAGCCAAACCACACCAGAGACCTGCAAGGACTTGCCAGTTCCAGTAGGAGAAAACTGAACCAACCCATCAGGTATGGAAAGATGCTTATTAGAACATGCTAAACCCAGCATTGGGATAGACTCAGCTGAAGAGGGTATAGCTAGTGAGCACCCAGAGAAGGCAACCCTAGGCACACACAAAGTGAGGAAAACGAAAGACTCCAGGTTCATTCAACAGTATGGCTGACACAAACATGCACATGAAGCAACACTAAACCAGGAACAAGCACAGGGCCCTTGAAAAGCAGTCCAAAGGATGGCCAATACTCATTTGGAAAAAAAACGAGACCCTGAGGGAGGTATGACACGAACACTTGTGAATGGGTCCACCCTGGGTAGACTCGAGTTCCCAGAGCTGCCACTTGGTAGCTGGGGTATGTAACTAGTGGGGGGAAGTGATCTAACTACTACTGTACTGTATTCCTCGTTGTCAGGGTTGCTAATATTTTCCCTGCTGTTCTCGGTTTTGGTTCACTTTACCTTTCTGGTGGCATTGCCTTTTGGTGTGGGTTATCTAGTATTCCCTGCTCCGTGCCTTTAAGTGAACTTCTTAAGTGAACCAGGTTTTGGCCTCTTGTCTGTGGTATGTGACATGGTCCTCTTAGAAAATGCCATTACAAAGCCTTACAAACCACAGCCAAAATAGGAGAACATTTTGGGAGAACCTCACAACTGAAGGAGCCACAAAAGGCCATAATGCAACAAACAGCAGCATGGTGATGGACAACACACCTGCCTCACTGCAATGCAAGGAACAGAAGAGTAGGCACTGTCACAGGACTAAGAAGGAACATGATTACACAAGAGCATTGCAGAAGTGTGCTAAAATGACCCAAGCAGGGGAACTACTGCTACTAGCCAGGAAGCGTTGGTATTCACAAAAGTGAGAGATAATTCAATAAGCTCTGAAGCAGTGTACATTAAGAAAAAAACCTTATACTACATAATGTTCATTTATAATCACCTGAATTTTGTCTGCTGTATCTCTGAGGTCGTAACATCTACCTGGGTTGGCCCGTGCAAGAAAGTCTTCAATTAACCGCATGCCAATATTATAACCCATTCTCTCCAGTTGGCGATTGACATCATCCACATTTTCATAATCCTTCAGCAGCTGTGCAATTAGTGATCCATATGTGAGTGTGAAGAGCTCCCCACTCTGTAAGATTTACATACTGTACTCTATTCTGTTACATGCAAACATTAAAGCAAAGAATAGTGCAAATCAAAGGAAATTTTAGACTTAATTACCTAACAGAGGTAAAAAATTTAAATTGTATAAATAAAACAAAAACTCCAAATTAGACATGATTCAATCACAATAGGGTTATTAAGGTTATATGATAAAAATGTAGATGACAGTAAGTAGTAAAAATGCAGAACCTTGAATTCAGCAAAACCTTTGATACTATATCTCAAGAGACCCATAAATAATTTCAGAGGCACATGATATTTGGAGTGTTTTCGAAGTCCAAGTGGGATCTGTTTTAAAGTGGAGTGCCTCAGGGCTCTGTCCCGGTACCTTTGTTGTTTTCCATATACAGTATTGTATATATACTAAAGGGTCCCAACAGTATAATTGGGTTCATTCTTGACACACAATCAAGAATTCCGGGTTCAAATCCCGGGGAGGGACTGAAGTGGTTGACACATTTCCTTTCACCTAGCTCACCTAATGTTCACGTTCACCCAGCAGTGAGTAGGTATTCAGGAGTTAGTCGGCTTGTTGTGGAGTTACATTCCGGGTGGGGTCAGTAATTTGGCCCTGTGGGGGGGGGGGGTTTGGCGACCTTGATAAAAGGCAAACATGTATGAATACACTCTGGCTTCCTGTCCCTCAACACAGTGAATTATTAATTATATAAACTATTTACACACAGGATTGAACAGCAACATTTACAAATTTGCAGACAATACAAAAATATGGTGGGAAATATAGTCCGATGATACAAAATCCCAACAAGACTATCTAGACAGGCTTTTAAAATGGAAAAAAGATTTGGAAGATGCAATTTATTGCTGAAAAATGTAGGTTTCAAACTTTGTCAACTATTTTTATTACCTATATTGAAATTGCAAAATCTGAAAGTGAAAAATGTCAGTCTTGATGAGCTGGGATCTTCACCCAAAAAATATATGTATAAATGTTAGGTATAAAGCATCCTTTTTGGATGCTTTATAACTAGAACATCCAGAAGTTAGGTATAAATTAAGGTTAGGTAATTATGAAGTGCTAAATCACTAACAATAGCACTTGGGAGGATTACCAGGACAAGTTAGGAGTCAAGATAAGATAACGGAGTGAAGGAACAGTGCCCAACCACATGCACCATTGGGAACCGAGTGTCAATCCTAGGATCCATGATTGAGAGTCCAGAATGAAGCCAACTGTCCAATGAGACCCTGATACATATTGTTACAACACTTATATGACCAACTTTAAAGAACCTTGAGGTACTTCCGGGGCTTAGTGTCCCCGCGGCCCGGTCGTCGACCAGGCCTCCTGGGCCTGAACACTGTGGTCCAGCTCCTGATCTCATTATAAAACTGATTATACAGTAATCTAATGTACATAACTCCAAGCCTTAACCTGGAAAACTGAATTCCTAGCTTTGGTGCTTTTAAGTGGCACCGAGAATATATAATTTGCATACCAACGCTGTTATGATTCATTGTTACTAGGGTTGGTCGAGTCATACACAAGATGGTTCAATAAAAGCTCATTTTCAGTGTGTCAGAGTCACATATACAGTATATTGTTAGGTTAGGATCTATCATCAAAGGGTAACACACAGTTAGGTTCATTTGGATTAGGTTGGGTTAGTTTAGGGTAGGCTACATAAGGTTTGTTAGTATTTAAAATCTGTTTAAGTGCTTTGTGTACAACATGATTTGTATTTAATTACATAAAACGATTTGATAAAGATTGTTTTCAGGTTGTCAAAACCACCATATTTAGTTAGGTTACAATGTATTATCTCAAGCTAGATTATGTTAGGGTTGGTTGAATTAATATATTGGGTGTTGTTGAGGTTTTAAAATCCGTTGGTGAATCGCCTTGTGACTTGTACCCTTGTTATCTTGAGGTTATCTCGAGATGATTTCGGGGCTTAGCGTCCCCGCGGCCCGGTCCTCGACCAGGCCTCCATCCCCAGGAAGCAGCCCATGACAGCTGAATAACTCCCAGGTACCTATTTACTGCTAGGTAACAGGGGCATCAGGGTGAAAGAAACATTTTGCCCATTTGTCTCCGCCTCCACCGGGGATCGAACCCGGAACCTCAGGACTACGAATTCAGAGCGCTGTCCACCCAGCTGTCAGGCGCCCTGCTATACTATAAGTTATTCCTTGTTACTATAAGGAGCAATAAAGTGTCAGATGTAACACAAACAAGGAGCAATAAAGTGTCAGATGTAACACAAACAGGGAGCAAGGGGTTTCAAGCTTAACAAGCCACAATGTAGACTGAGAACAGCAGATGCTTTTTCACCCACAGGGTTATAAACTCATTGTGGAACCGCCTACCCGCCGAAGCCGTAAATGTCAAATCTGCTGAATTTAAAAAAAAACTAGAAAACATTATCAGGGGTAAATGGGGGGAACTTTGACAAGCCGCCGGCGTCCTGTCCTAGTCGAGGCCACTAGTGTTAGTGGCCATCAGGTAAATTCAGGTGATAAACCCTATGGAACCGCCTACCCGCCGAAGGCGAAAAAGTTAACACTACTGCATTTTAAAATCCAGTTTGAATGAAGTTATCAGGCCAAATGAGATACATTTGACAAGCCGCCGGCTTCCTATCCTCATCAAGGCCACCAGAATGTTAATGGCCCCTCAGGTAAAATAACCAAGAGTCCTTCAAGAAACGCCCACCAGCCTCTACGACCATTCTATGCCCTCAAAACTACCCTATGACACACCAGCCCAAACTACGTTGCCTCAACACCTCACAAATGACCCAACTACCCCAAGAAACTCATATAATGAGGCACTAACCACTTTCTTAGGGTCGTTCGCCCTCATACTCTGACGAGACATCTTAACACACGTCTGCTCACCACTTCGCTCCTTCTTCAACTAAATCAATGTCAAACTCTATGACATGTGCTCACTTATTTGATTCATTTTTATCCGTTGATTATTTTTCTGTATCAATACATTTAGATTTTGGATTATTAATAGGCATAACAGTTTATTTTTGGGATTATATGAGGTTGGCATTCGATTCTTAAGGTAAAAATGATGTAAGTTATTGCTCGAATTTTTCGGCGGGGGATTCAAACTTGATGAGCAGGCTCATCGCCAGCAGGCCGGGTAGGCCAGCGGCACAGCACCAGCTGGGCTCATCACCAGCAGGCCGGGTAGGCCAGCGGCACAGCACCAGCTGGGCTCATCACCAGCAGGCCGGGTAGGCCAGCTGCACAGCACCAGCTGGGCTCTCACCAGCAGGCAGGGTAGGCCAGCGGCACAGCACCAGCTGGGGCAGGCGGGTAGGCCAGCTGCACAGCACCAGCTGGGCTCGTCACCAGCAGGCCGGGTAGGCCAGCTGCACAGCACCAGCTGGGCTCATCACCAGCAGGCAGGGTAGGCCAGCTGCACAGCACCAGCTGGGCTTGTCACCAGCAAGGCAGGGTAGGCCAGCGGCACAGCACCAGCTGGGCTCGTCACCAGCAAGGCAGGGTAGGCCAGGGGCACAGCACCAGCTGGGCTCGTCACCAGCAAGGCAGGGTAGGCCAGCGGCACAGCACCAGCTGGGCTCGTCGCCAGCAGGCAGGGTAGGCCAGCGGCACAGCACCAGCTGGGCTCATCACCAGCAAGGCAGGGTAGGCCAGCGGCACAGCACCAGCTGGGCTCATCACCAGCAAGGCAGGGTAGGCCAGCGGCACAGCACCAGCTGGGCTCATCACCAGCAGGCAGGGTAGGCCAGCGGCACAGCACCAGCTGGGCTCATCACCAGCAGGCAGGGTAGGCCAGCGGCACAGCACCAGCTGGGCTCATCACCAGCAAGGCAGGGTAGGCCAGCGGCACAGCACCAGCTGGGCTCATCACCAGCAAGGCAGGGTAGGCCAGCAGCACAGCACCAGCTGGGCTCATCACCAGCAAGGCAGGGTAGGCCAGCGGCACAGCACCAGCTGGGTTCGTCACTAGCAAGGCAGGGTAGGCGGCACAGCACCAGCTGGGCTCATCACCAGCAGGCAGGGTAGGCCAGCGGCACAGCACCAGCTGGGCTCATCACCAGCAGGCCGGGTAGGCCAGCGGCACAGCACCAGCTGGGCTCGTCACCAGCAGGCCGGGTAGGCCAGCGGCACAGCACCAGCTGGGCTCATCACCAGCAGGCCGGGTAGGCCAGCGGCACAGCACCAGCTGGGCTCATCACCAGCAGGCCGGGTAGGGCAGCGGCACAGCACCAGCTGGGCTCATCACCAGCAGGCCGGGTAGGGCAGCGGCACAGCACCAGCTGGGCTCATCACCAGCAGGCCGGGTAGGGCAGCGGCACAGCACCAGCTGGGCTCATCACCAGCAGGCCGGGTAGGCCAGCGGCACAGCACCAGCTGGGCTTTCTGCAAATATGCAAGAGATAGGGAAAGCAAGCACCCCGGCCAAGGACTATATGAATATCATCGTGCTGAAGAGGCGCGAGTCGTTGAAGAATGGACAGTCATGCAGAGCCATATGCGATGCTGGATTTCTGATCTTGCTATCCACTAAAGCCTCGTATAGGCGTAGCTGGGACTCTGGATGCTTCCCAGGAATGGTATCCATTCGACGGATGCAAACATGGCGGTTCTGCTTTTTTTCAGGGCTAATACTTAATGCCCTTGGTTTTCTCCATGATATAAATTCATTATAACCCTTTGTAGTGCCTCCAGCCTGCCTGTGCATATGGCAGGGTAGAGGCACTGCTACATCATCCGCATAGACAAGAGTACGGATACCTTCAGGGGTTGGTATATCAGATAGTTAGTTTAGTTCATTTATTATGCACCCCATACCCATCTTGTGGGCGGTAGTGGAAAGGGTTACAGAGGCACATAATGGGCTCAGGGACTGAACCCCACAATTCATTTAGCTAATCAAGTTACAATCTTGATGAGCTAGTTACAAAATTCAGTATAAGACGTCACTTCGACAATGGGTTCGAGATCGACCACAAGTACAGTTTCTAAATTAAGCAACTGACATATGTGGAGAGCTAGTGTCACAATTGATATGTTTGTCCTGCACACCGCCCCCCATCCAGTGGGCAGCGGTGGATAGGTTACAATCACTTAGTTACTACCTACAGTTAGCAAACTGGGGATATTTGGCTAAAATTTCTGGTAGCAGATAATTTTGAAGGAAATATTTACACATCGTTGGAACATTGGTTATAGAATTGTCTCTAAATTCATGTATCTTTTCGCACTCCATCACATAGTGACGGAGGGTGTGCGAATAATTTTGTTGACACAGTTTACATTTGGTCAGGTCTACATCGGCAGATAATGAAAATTCCCAGATACTTGTAACCGAGTCTAAGCCGAGCAGTAGTAACATCTAGAAGTCTGCTGATTTTATTGAATGATCCATAGATGTGTGGCTCCTCTTGCATGATAGTATGATGATAGATGGAATTACTGGTGTCAATTTCACTTTGCCTCAGATCTACAAGATCTTGTTGAAGTTCTCGGTGTACTGCTGCTCTCAGATTGCTCATTGACAATCCAAGGTTACACTCAACGGCTCCTTTAAAGGCAGATTCTTTGGCTAACTTATCAGCTCTATCATGCATTCGGAGGCCAACATGAGATGGAGACCACATGAAATGGACTCTGTTACCATCCTTAATAATTTTGTTGTATTTGTGTCTAGCTTCGGACACGAGCATGTTACAGTTATGTCTTAAAGAGTTGAGAGCATTTAAGGATGATAAGGAATCACTTACAATTAATGTATCAAGTTTGGAGACTTGTACACATTTCAGTGCAAGCAGCAAGGCAAATAGTTCAGTCTGAAGGGTAGAGGCCCACTTGTTTATACGGGCTCCCCACTCAAAATATAAGCCATCGCCCATTGTCAGGACAACTGCACTTCCAGCTGCACCCGTGGTGCGGTGTAGGGAACCATCAGTGTATATGGTTTGAGAGAGAAAATGCTCTGTGGACAGAGCATCAGTATGGCTTAAGGCGTTGAGCTTTGCCTCAAGACGAAGCTTGGGCTGATCTCTAATTTGCTTCTTGGGTGGAAAGGGAGGGATTAAAACTGGAAAGGGTGTAACCTCCCACGGTGCAGGAAAGTGCCGTTGTTGTTTCTCTTGGTACAAATCATGAACCTGATACATTCTGAGTTGAGTTCCAGTTTTTGTTATCCATTTGGAACAATGCTGATCTTCAATAAAGAAATTCTGGAGGGCTTCTGTGCAAGGATTAGGATGAGTTAGCCTAAGCATTTTTATACCAATTTGACAGTTAATTTCAGTAACACGATCAACAACGCTCAGAATATTAAGTTCCTTTCTCATATTAAGTATCTTTGTGGTACGAGGGCACCCAAGGATTATCCTCAAGGCTTCGTTCTGCAAGTTTTCAAGCCCTCCAAGCTTTCTTTCAGGCATCAAAACAAGCAGAGGTGCGCACCTGGTGACCTCAGACTCCACTGTGTTGGAGATTGAGATGGTTATTGTGGTTAACGGTGTGTAAAGCGTCACGTATGTCAACAAATAAATCTATGGGGTATTCATTTTTGTCAAGAGATCCATGAAACGCGTCAGGGATATTAATTAACACATCATTGGTGCTTACACGGAGCCTGAAACCATGTAAGGTCATTTGGGAAAGAATTCTCACTGTTTTTTTTGTTTTGTTTTTTTGAGATATATACAAGAGTTGTTACATGGTTGTAGAGCCACTAGTACGCGTAGCGTTTCGGGCAGGTCCCTGGAATACGATCCCCGCCGCGAAGAATCCTTGTTACAACCAAGTACACATTTTACTGTTGGGTTAAACAGAAGCTACAGTTAAGGAATTGCGCCCAGTAAATCCTCCCCGGCCAGGATACGAACCCATGACATAGCGCTCGCGGAACGCCAGGCGAGTGTCTTACCACTACACCACGGAGACTGTAAACTTGAATATTGTGAGGAATTCATCATCATCATCATATTATTATTATTATTATTATTATTATTATTATATAAAATACCACCAGGTTGCTGGAACTATTGAATATAATAGATGCTACATGTACACTAGAGTGCCGTTCCAGTAGTTGTAAACAAGGTTCTCCATCAGAAACTCTTGGGCGGGATAGCGCCCGACGGAGCGCTGAAGATAATATGGTGGATAGTTCCGCGTCTGCCACTTGAGCAGGTCGTCCTCAGCTGACTGTACAAGTTCAGGACTCGGCTTGATGATTGCTATGCCTTCAGGGAACAGCGTGCTGCAAGAAGTTTTTTTTTATATGACAAAACATTTTTTGCACATGAAGTACACAGTAAATTATTTGCCAGAATGTAACACCACAAATGTTTTAGTGATATAAGTAGTCAGTTCACCCGGGAGATTGTGTCGCCATGTAGTCTGTCGGCTCCTAGACAATATCTTGAGTTATCTTGAGATGATTTCGGGGCTTTTTAGTGTCCCGCGGCCCAGTCCTCGACCAGGCCTCCACCCCCAGGAAGCAGCTCGTGACAGCTGACTAACACCCAGGTACCTATTTTACTGCTAGGTAACAGGGGCATAGGGTGAAAGAAACTCTGCCCATTGTTTCTCGCCGGCGTCTGGGATCGAACCCAGTACCACAGGATCACAAATCCAGCGTGCTGTCCGCTCGGCCGACCGGCTCCCAAATACCTCGGAGGTGTTCCTAAACCTTGCCCAAACATGCTGGGTAGGGTTCAGGTCATGCTGGTGACCTTATATAAAAATAATATAGGGGGCAATCAAACAAAAGGTAAGGAATAGGGGAATAATGGAGAAGGAGGCCAATCGAACATTGTGTAAGGCGGTGGACGGGGACGAATCGAAAGAGATGTCGTTATCCGTTAACCGGCGAGGTCTGGGTCTAAGCGTAGGCAAGGAATGTTGTCCGGTGATACTTGGTTGATACCTGGTTGACGGGGTTCTGGGAGTTCTTCTACTCCCCAAGCCCGACCCGAGGCCAGGCTTGACTTGTGAGAGTTTGGTCCACCAGGCTGTTGTTTGGAGCGGCCCGCAGGCCCACATACCCACCACAGCCCGGCTGGTCCGGCACTCCTTGAAGGAAACAATCTAGTTTCCTCTTGAAGATGTCCACGGTTGTTCCTGTAATATGGGTGGTGAAGGTCTCACGACTTCCTCCAAACTTGCAGACAATCACTGCCCAAATGGTTAGAGCACTGGACAGCTAGGGACATGGCTGACCAGGATTGAATCCTTCAAGGGTCAAGTGTCATTCTTCAGGGGTCAAGAGAGAGGGGGTCATATATATACCATGCATATACTAGGGGTGGGTATCTGGCACTGACTTGTTCTCTCTCTCCACCCTCTTTATCTCTACCTATTTGTATGTATCTATCTACCTATCTCTCTAGTTATATCCATCTCTATCTAGCTCTATGACTCACCAATAGGATACATAACTCACCAGTAGAGATCATAACTCACCAGTAGAGATCATAACTCACCAGTAGAGGTCATAACTCACCAACAGAGATCATAACTCACCAGTAGAGATCATAACTCACCAGTAGAGGTCATAACTCACCAGTAGAGTAGAGGGCATAACTCACCAGTCATAACTCACCAGTAGAGATCATAACTCACCAGTAGAGCATAACTCACCAGTAGATCATAACTCACCAGTAGAGGTCATAACTCACCAGTAGAGGCCATAACTCACCAGTAGAGGTCATAACTCACCAGTAGAGGTCATAACTCACCAGTAGAGGTCATAACTCACCAGTAGAGATCATAACTCACCAGTAGAGGGCATAACTCACCAGTAGAGGGCATAACTCACCAGTAGAGGTCATAACTCACCAGTAGAGGGCATAACTCACCAGTAGAGGGCATAACTCACCAGTAGAGGGCATAACTCACCAGTAGAGGGCATAACTCACCAGTAGAGGGCATAACTCACCAGTAGAAGGCATAACTCAACAGTAGAGGCCATAACTCACCAGTAGAGGGCATAACTCACCAGTAGAAGGCATAACTCACCAGTAGAGATCATAACTCACCAGTAGAGGGACATAACTCACCAGTAGAGGGCATAACTCACCAGTAGAGGGACATAACTCACCAGTAGAGGGACATAACTCACCAGTAGAGGGACATAACTCACCAGTAGAGGTCATAACTCACCAGTAGAGATCATAACTCACCAGTAGAGGGACATAACTCACCAGTAGAGGGACATAACTCACCAGTAGAGGTCATAACTCACCAGTAGAGATCATAACTCACCAGTAGAGGGACATAACTCACCAGTAGAGGGACATAACTCACCAGTAGAGGGCATAACTCACCAGTAGAGGTCATAACTCACCAGTAGAGATCATAACTCACCAGTAGAGGGACATAACTCACCAGTAGAGGGCATAACTCACCAGTAGAGGCCATAACTCACCAGTAGAGATCATAACTCACCAGTAGAGGTCATAACTCACCAGTAGAGGTCATAACTCACCAGTAGAGGACATAACTCAGCAAAAGGGGACATAACTCACCAGTAGAGGGCATAACTCACCAGTAGAGGGACATAACTCACCAGTAGAGGTCATAACTCACCAGTAGAGGGACATAACTCACCAGTAGAGGGACATAACTCACCAGTAGAGGCCATAACTCAACAGTAGAGGACATAACTCACCAGTAAAGATCATAACTCACCAGTAGAGGACATAACTCAGCAAAAGGGGACATAACTCACCAATAGAGGGGCATAACTCACCAGTAGAGATCATAACCTACCAATAGAGGGACATAACTCACCAATAGAGGTCATAACTCACCAATAGAGGGGCATAACTCACCAGTAGAGATCATAACCTACCAATAGAGGGACATAACTCACCAATAGAGGTCATAACTCACCAATAGAGGGGCATAACTCACCAGTAGAGGGACATAACTCACCAGTAGAGGGACATAACTCATCAATAGAGGTCATAACTCACCAATAGAGGGTCATAACTCACCAGTAAGGGGAGGCCGGACAACCAATTATGTAGAGAACACGACCTTCTAGATTAAAACGAACCACACCGTTGTATTTCTCTCTGCTGTCGTCACTGTAGCCGTGAAGGCACTGTAGAATACAAGTCACAACACATACAACAGCCCCACACTAGTCCATATACAATAAATCCTAACTTGAGAGTAAATACAATGAAGGAAAGGTATTGTATTATCAGGAGAAAGTACTTTAGCAGGTACTATACAACACCTGGGATATGAGAGACAAGGATCAGGGATAGGACGGAAGGGGGTGTGAGGGGGAGGAACGGTGCACAGCCATTTGGACCGTCGGGGATCGAACGCGGACCTGCAAGAAGCGAAGATCGTCGCTGTACCGACCAGTCCAAATGATTGAGACACAACTAAGCCTCACACACTTTCATAACTATTGTATCTAAACAAAAATATAAAATAAAACCCTGATAGTCCTATTTACTTCGCTTATTATATATTATATAATATGTAAAGTAATATATATATTTATATATTATATATTATATAATATATAAAGTGTATAGAATTAAGAATTTTACTATAAATATTTCTTACAGTTATTGATGGCAAAATTAGCCATACTCACCACATGAATGATACATAAGAGTCCTACTCACCACATGAATGATACATAAGTCATACTCACCACGTGAATGATACATAAGAGCCATACTCACCACATGAATGATACATAAGTCATACTCACCACGTGAATGATACATAAGAGTCCTACTCACCACATGAATGATACATAAGTCATACTCACCACGTGAATGATACATAAGAGCCATACTCACCACATGAATGATACATAAGTCATACTCACCACGTGAATGATACATAAGAGTCATACTCACCACATGAATGATACATAAGAGCCATACTCACCACATGAATGATACATAAGTCATACTCACCACGTGAATGATACATAAGAGTCATACTCACCACATGAATGATACATAAGAGTCATACTCACCACATGAATGATACATAAGAGCCATACTCACCACATGAATGATACATAAGAGTCATACTCACCACATGAATGATACATAAGAGTCATACTCACCACATGAATGATACATAAGAGTCATACTCACCACATGAATGATACATAAGAGTCATACTCACCACATGAATGATACATAAGAGTCATACTCACCACATGAATGATACATAAGAGTCATACTCACCACATGAATGATACATAAGAGTCATACTCACCACATGAATGATACATAAGAGTCATACTCACCACATGAATGATACATAAGAGTCATACTCACCACATGAATGATACATAAGAGTCATACTCACCACATGAATGATACATAAGAGTCATACTCACCACATGAATGATACATAAGAGTCATACTCACCACATGAATGATACATAAGAGTCATACTCACCACATGAATGATACATAAGAGTCATACTCACCACATGAATGATACATAAGAGTCATACTCACCACATGAATGATACATAAGAGTCATACTCACCACATGAATGATACATAAGAGTCATACTCACCACATGAATGATACATAAGAGTCATACTCACCACATGAATGATACATAAGAGTCATACTCACCACATGAATGATACATAAGAGTCATACTCACCACATGAATGATACATAAGAGTCATACTCACCACATGAATGATACATAAGAGTCATACTCACCACATGAATGATACATAAGTCATACTCACCACATGAATGATACATAAGAGTCATACTCACCACATGAATGATACATAAGAGTCATACTCACCACATGAATGATACATAAGAGTCATACTCACCACATGAATGATACATAAGAGTCATACTCACCACATGAATGATACATAAGTCATACTCACCACATGAATGATACATAAGAGTCATACTCACCACATGAATGATACATAAGAGCCATACTCACCACATGAATGATACATAAGAGTCATACTCACCACATGAATGATACATAAGAGCCATACTCACCACATGAATGATACATAAGAGTCATACTCACCACATGAATGATACATAAGTCATACTCACCACATGAATGATACATAAGAGTCATACTCACCACATGAATGATACATAAGAGCCATACTCACCACATGAATGATACATAAGAGTCATACTCACCACATGAATGATACATAAGTCATACTCACCACATGAATGATACATAAGAGTCATACTCACCACATGAATGATACATAAGAGCCATACTCACCACATGAATGATACATAAGAGTCATACTCACCACATGAATGATACATAAGAGTCATACTCACCACATGAATGATACATAAGAGTCATACTCACCACATGAATGATACATAAGAATCATACTCACCACATGAATGATACATAAGAGCCATACTCACCACATGAATGATACATAAGAGTCATACTCACCACATGAATGATACATAAGAGTCATACTCACCACATGAATGATACATAAGAGCCATACTCACCACATGAATGATACATAAGAGTCATACTCACCACATGAATGATACATAAGAGTCATACTCACAATCTGCATGATATAATAAGAGTCATACTCGTCGCTCTGGGTCTCCGACAACACGAACAGTCTGAAGGGTCCAGCCTGTAGGGAAAGAATGATATCATTCGCTTAGATCCCAGTAGAAGGCTCCTGTACACAGTGGTCAAGAAAGAAGTCATACTCGTCGCTCTGGGTCTCCGACAACACAAACAGTCTGAAGGGTCCAGCCTGTAGGGAAAGAATGATATCATTCGCTTAGATCCCAGTAGAAGGCTCCTGTACACAGTGGTCAAGAAAGAAGTCATACTCGTCGCTCTGGGTCTCCGACAACACAAACAGTCTGAAGGGTCCAGCCTGTAGGGAAAGAATGATTATCATTCGCTTAGATCCCAGTAGAAGGCTCCTGTACACAGTGGTCAAGAAAGAAGTCATACTCGTCGCTCTGGGTCTCCGACAACACAAACAGTCTGAAGGGTCCAGCCTGTAGGGAAAGAATGATATCATTCGCTTAGATCCCAGTAGAAGGCTCCTGTACACAGTGGTCAAGAAAGAAGTCATACTCGTCGCTCTGGGTCTCCGACAACACAAACAGTCTGAAGGGTCCAGCCTGTAGGGAAAGAATGATTATCATTCGCTTAGATCCCAGTAGAAGGCTCCTGTACACAGTGGTCAAGAAAGAAGTCATACTCGTCGCTCTGGGTCTCCGACAACGCAAACAGTCTGAAGGGTCCAGCCTGTAGGGAAAGAATGATTATCATTCGCTTAGATCCCAGTAGAAGGCTCCTGTACACAGTGGTCAAGAAAGAAGTCATACTCGTCGCTCTGGGTCTCCGACAACACGAACAGTCTGAAGGGTCCAGCCTGTAGGGAAAGAATGATATCATTCGCTTAGATCCCAGTAGAAGGCTCCTGTACACAGTGGTCAAGAAAGAATAAGAAAAAGCTTACTTTGTTCTGGTTAAGAAAGACGGTAAATCTTACCTTGTCCTGAGGAAGGAAGGGACGTGAGCAAGGGTGGAGGACATCCTTCAAGTCCTCAGCCTCCAGTATCTCACGCTTGAACTTGGCCTCGTACCGCTCCAGTGTCAAGCTGGCCCCCCGAGGATGACCACAATCAGCTTGTTAGACTTTAATTGTTCGCACAATGAACACGTAGCAACAGATAGTATACAATGGAGAAGTGTATAGCTCATTCATCACTGTGTATAACCTAGAAGTATACCTCATTCATCACTGTATTGATTATACATACTTATACACCCGAGAAGATTATACACACTTATTAATATACTACACAGTGTATATACACTCAGAGATCTACTCCACAATATAATAAATAATTTATATAATCTCAAAAGACAAAGAGCATGTCTGCTGACGAAGTTCTGCAGGAGTCTGCACACCCAGCAAAGAAAACGGGAACTCGTCACTTACTCCTCCAGTCCTTTGAGCTTAACATTTGGGTCGTGATTGTATATCATGTGACTGAACATATGTTCCTGCGCCCAGCCTGTGACGTGGGCGCCGGCCGCCCCAGCGTGGAAGGTCCGCCCTATTTCCGGGACGAGGGCGTGGCGCCCCTGTAGGGAGTGTTGGGAGAATAGCCACCAGTCCCAATCAGCGGTCTCCTGCGAGAGAGGGGGAAAAGGGAGTTATTAGGGAGAATGCGTCAAGCCATTACGACTATATAGTACTTAGAAGGGGTCAGGATAAGGATTTGGGATGGGACGGAGGGAAGGAATGGTGCCCCAACCACTTATGGACGATCGGGGCTGAACGCCGACCTGCATGAAGCGAGACCGTCGCTCTACCGTCCAGCACCAAGTGGTTGGGCAGTAAATATCTGCTAATAACGTTTTGGCAGCCATCTTTTATACACAGAGTTACAGACCCGCTCCTGTGCCCGGTCAGTTCACTACGGGCTCACCATAGCCCGTGCTACTTAGCTATGGTGAGCCAAAGTACACGAAACATTTTGTTCCGAGAAGCTGAAGCTAAAACTACAAGATCCTTCAGAGCTTCGTGTGTGGGTGGAAGAGGGTGGTGAGAAACATTAGATGATTCGAGTGCAGCGGTCCGAAGCTGGAACAAAGTGAGGTAAAACTCCGCTTCGACCCGGTACCGTCCGCGCTGCGCCTGCGGGACGCGATGCGCAATTGTCTCTTTTTCCCCCGTCAGAAACAGCACCGCTTTTCTGCGAAAAGCAGTGGCCATTTGTTGAACTGTCATGTCGTGACTGCATGCGTGTGTCAGTATACTGACCATCAGTCGTGACAGTGTATGCATGCCAGTATACTACCCTTCAGGCATGACAGCATATTCACGTCAGTATACTAACCTTGAGTCGCGACAGAGCATATAGCATATGTATGCTATACTAACCTTCATTCTTGACAGTATACTAGACGTCACATTATCTTGACAGCATACAATATACTAACCTTCAGTCTTGACAGTATATTAGACGTCACATTATCTTGACAGCATACAATATACTAACCTTCAGTCTTGACAGTATATTAGACGTCACATTATCTTGACAGCATACAATATACTAACCTTCAGTCTTGACAGTATATTAGACGTCACATTATCTTGACAGCATACAATATACTAACCTTCAGTCTTGACAGTATACTAGACGACACATTATCTTGACAGCATACAATATACTAACCTTAACCTGGCGAGTACTCAGACAACTATATAACTACTTACCATAATTGATCATGTTCTATGTGAACAGATACAGAACAGGTGTGTGTGTGTGTGTGTGAGGAAGATTAGGAATTATTAAGATAGATGCAGTATAGATGTGAGTAAAGAGAGAGAGAGAAGAACACGGACGAGGGACGTCGAAGCCTCACGAACCTCTTCAGGAATCCAAGCCTGGTACTGGTCTCTGGCCCAGCGACGGGTGACCATCCAGCCGAACTGAGGAAACATGTCCAAGCGGCGCAGGACCGTCGGGTCGTGAGCCACCTCTGGGTAACTGTTGACGGAGAAGGCATTCACGCAGAAGATGGTCGGGTCGGCGTCCAGCAGCCAGGCTGTCTGCTGGAAGAAACTGGAAGGGCGTGTATTGTGGATACGATTGGTTATAGAGTGTGGTAAATTGGGTTCCCCGGTTGTATGTGCTTGGGACTCTCTCTCTGCTCACTGGCTCGCTTTCCCTCCCCCTTCTCTCATTCTCTCTCCCCTTCCCACTTGTATATAAAATTAAGTCAGCCTACCCCCACGTCTCTCTCTCTCTCTGTCTCTCTCTGCCTCTCTCTCTCGCTCTCTGAATTTTCAGAGTTTAAAATAAATGATAAAAAACTCTCCGGAAACATAATCCCCGATTTCGATAAAGATATATACACCAACCTCCCAACGCCGCCAAACACACACACACACACACACACACACACACACACACACACACACACACACACACACACACACACACACACACACACACACACACACACACACACACACACACACACACGGGAGAGGAAATTCTTCAGGAGTCAGAGAAGGAAAAAGACTTGGGGGTTGATATCACGCCAGACCTGTCTCCTGCAGCACATATCAAGCGGATAACATCAGCGGCATATGCCAGGCTGGCCAACATACGAACGGCATTCAGAAACTTGTGTAAAGAATCATTCAGAACTTTGTATACCACATATGTCAGGCCAATCCTGGAGTATGCAGCCCCAGCATGGAGTCCATATCTAGTCAAGGATAAGACTAAACTGGAAAAGGTTCAAAGGTTTGCCACCAGACTAGTACCCGAGCTGAGAGGTATGAGCTACGAGGAGAGACTACGGGAATTAAACCTCACTTCGCTGGAAGACAGAAGAGTTAGGGGGGACATGATCACCACATTCAAGATTCTGAAGGGGATTGATAGGGTAGATAAAGACAGTCTATTTAACACAAGGGGAACACGCACAAGGGGACACAGGTGGAAACTGAGTGCCCAAATGAGCCACAGAGATATTAGAAAGAACTTTTTAGTGTCAGAGTGGTTGACAAATGGAATGCATTAGGGGGTGATGTGGTGGAGGCTCACTCCATACACAGTTTCAAGTGTAGATATGACAGAGCCCGATAGGCTCAGGAATCTGTACACCTGTTGATTGACGGTTGAGAGGCGGGACCAAAGAGCCAGAGCTCAACCCCCGCAAACACAACTAGGTGAGTACAACTAGGTGAGTACACACACACACACACACACACACACACACACACACACACACACACACACACACACACACACACACACACACACACACACACACACACACACACACACACAATAAGGAAGAATAAGGAGAGGGGGAACAAGTTCCTGAAGATTGCATACACCAACATAGATGGAGTGAGATCGAAGATACTGGAGTTAAGTGATGTAATACAGCTGCAGACACCAGACATTGTTGCACTCACGGAGACAAAACTTGAAGATGTAATTTTAAATGAGGTCATATTCCCAAGGGGCTACTCAATTTGGAGACGGGACAGAAAAATTAGGAAAGGCGGTGGCGTTGCTGTGCTGGTAAAAGAACACCTAAAGGTGAAGGAAATAATGACTGCCAATCCACAAGAAGTTGACATAATAGCACTAGAGATCTGCTATGAGGATGATAAACTAATGATGATAAATGCATATAGTCCACCGCCAAGCAGCACATGGTCAAAGGAGGAGCTAGATAGTAAACGTGAAGGTCTTATAACAATAATGAGAGAGATTATAGCGAGAGCGGATAACGATAGATCACGACTGTTGATAGTCGGTGACTTCAACTTGAAATCCATAGACTGGGAAGCATATGAAGCTAAAACAGAAGATTTTTGGACCTGTAAATTTGTAGACCTCATCCTGGAAACATTCTTGTATCAACATGTTAAACAAGCTACGAGGATGAGGGAAGGGGACGTTCCCTCCATGCTAGATTTGATATTTACCAGGAAGGAGGAAGAGATATTTGACATTCAGTACCTTCCTCCCTTGGGTAAAAGTGACCATGTCTTTTTGGGAATAAAGTATGCAATGCGTTATAAGCTGGAAGAAAATAAGGAGGTTGAAGCAGTTGAAAAACCAGACTTCAGGAGAGGACATTATGGTGACCTTAGAAATTTTTTTAGTGAGTATAATTGGACAGACTTGATGCTAGGCAAGGAAGTGAATGAGATGTATGGCAAGTTTTGTGAAATATATGATAAAGGCACAAAAAAATTTATACCAAAACAGAGATGCAGAACCAGAAAACAGGATTGGTTCGACAGAAATTGTGAGAGGGCAAGAGACCAAAAGACACAAAAATGGAATCAGTATAGGAAGAGGCCAAACCCCCAAACATACCAGCGATACAAAGATGCGAGAAACAATTATACAGCAGTAAGGAGAGAGGCAGAAAGAAATTTTGAAAAAGGGATTGCGGACAAATGTAAAACAGAACCAGGTCTATTCTATAAATTCATAAACAACAAATTGCAGGTAAAGGATAATATTCAGAGGTTGAAAATGGGAAATAGATTCACGGAAGATGAAAAGGAAATGTGTGAAACACTAAACGAAAATTTCCAAAGTGTGTTTGTACAAAATGAAATCTTCAGGGAACCAGATACAATAAGAATTCCAGAGAACAACATAGAGCACATAGAGGTGTCTACAGACGAAGTGGAAAAAATGCTCAAGGAGCTCGGTAAGAACAAAGCAGCTGGCCCAGATGGCGTTTCACCATGGGTTCTGAGAGAATGTGCATCTGAGCTCAGCATTCCACTTCACCTGATCTTTCAGGCATCCCTGTGTACAGGAATCGTAGCAGACGTGTGGAAACAGGCTAACATAGTTCCAATCTACAAAAGTGGCAGCAGGGAAGACCCCCTCAATTATAGACCTGTATCATTGACAAGTGTAATAGTGAAAGTATTGGAAAAGCTAATCAAAACTAAATGGGTAGAACACCTGGAGAGAAATGATATAATATCAGACAGACAGTATGGTTTTCGATCAGGAAGATCCTGTGTATCGAATTTACTCAGTTTCTATGATCGAGCCACAGAGATATTACAGGAAAGAGATGGTTGGGTTGACTGCATCTATCTGGACCTAAAAAAGGCTTTCGACAGAGTTCCACATAAGAGGTTGTTCTGGAAACTGGAAAATATTGGAGGGGTGACAGGTAAGCTTCTATCATGGATGAAAAATTTTCTGACTGATAGAAAAATGAGGGCAGTAATCAGAGGCAATGTATCGGAATGGAGAAATGTCACAAGTGGAGTACCACAGGGTTCAGTTCTTGCACCAGTGATGTTTATTGTGTACATAAATGATCTACCAGTTGGTATACAGAATTATATGAACATGTTTGCTGATGATGCTAAGATAATAGGAAGGATAAGAAATTTAGATGACTGTCATGCCCTTCAAGAAGACCTGGACAAAATAAGTATATGGAGCACCACTTGGCAAATGGAATTTAATGTTAATAAATGTCATGTTATGGAATGTGGAATAGGAGAACATAGACCCCACACAACCTACATATTATGTGAGAAATCTTTAAAGAATTCTGATAAAGAAAGAGATCTAGGAGTGGTTCTAGATAGAAAACTATCACCTGAGGACCACATAAAGAATATTGTGCAAGGAGCCTATGCTATGCTTTCTAACTTCAGAATTGCATTTAAATACATGGATGGCGATATACTAAAGAAATTGTTCATGACTTTTGTTAGGCCAAAGCTAGAATATGCAGCTGTTGTGTGGTGCCCATATCTTAAGAAGCACATCAACAAACTGGAAAAGGTGCAAAGACATGCTACTAAGTGGCTCCCAGAACTGAAGGGCAAGAGCTACGAGGAGAGGTTAGAAGCATTAAATATGCCAAAACTAGAAGACAGAAGAAAAAGAGGTGATATGATCACTACATACAAAATAGTAACAGGAATTGATAAAATCGACAGGGAAGACTTCCTGAGACCTTGAATTTCAAGTACAAGAGGTCATAGATTTAAACTAGCTAAACACAGATGCCGAAGAAATATAAGAAAATTCACCTTCGCAAATAGAGTGGTAGACGGTTGGAACAAGTTAAGTGAGAAGGTGGTGGAGGCCAAGACCGTCAGTAGTTTCAAAGCGTTATATGACAAAGAGTGCTGGGAAGACGGGACACCACGAGCGTAGCTCTCATCCTGTAACTACACTTAGGTAATTACACTTAGGTAATTACACACACACACACACACACACACACACACACACACACACACACACACACACACACACACACACACACACACACACACACACACACAGGAGCTTCGCGGCTGAGTGGACAGCGCTTTGGGGATCGTAGAACTAAGGGCCCGGGTTCGATCCCCGGCAGAGGCAGAAACAAATGTAATTTTTACCCTGATGCACCAATTCACCTAGCTTTAAATAGGTACCTGGGCGTCAGACAGCTGCTATGGGCTGCTTTCTGGCTATGTGTGCGTGAGTAACAGAAATATATGTAGTAGACATAAGATAAAAAAAATCAAATGGTTTGAAAGGCGGGGTCCAAGAGCTAATAGCTCGATTCTGCAGATACAAATAGTAAATACACACACACATACACACGCTGTGTTATGAACTAGGCTGTTCATAGCCATTTTAAAAGGCCTAGGGAGCAGGTCGGCCGAGCGGACAGCACACTGGACATGTGATCCTGTGGTCCTGGGTTCGATCCCGGGCGCCGGCGAGAAACAATGGGCAGAGTTTCTTTCACCCTATGCCCCTGTTACCTAGCAGTAAAATAGGTACCTGGATGTTAGTCAGCTGTCACGGGCTGCTTCCTGGGGGTGGAGGCCTGGTCGAGGACCGGGCCGCGGGGACACTAAAGCCCCGAAATCATCTCAAGATAACCTCAAGATAGGTTCATTTACATACGTGAATTTGCATACCACACAAATAAAAGTAACTACAGCAGTACATTTAGGATTGTGCAGGCGAGGAGTCACAATAACGTGGCTGAAGTATGTTGACCAGACCACACACTAGAAAAATGAAGGGATGACGACGTCTCGGTCCGTCCTGGACCATTCTGAAGTCGATTGTGAGAATGGTCGACTTGAGAATGGTCCAGGATGGACCGAAACGTCGTCGTCCCTTCATTTTCTAATGTGTGGTCTGGTCAACATTTAGGATTTTATTTGAAGTGTGTGAGTAGAATTTAAAAGTGTGTCCTCTGTAGGCTTGTTATGTATCCAGAGTAAGTGGTCAGTGGGGGATTATTGATTGAATTACTAAGTTTAATACATTTTTTACCCATTCACGAGAGGAAGTCAAGGAAGAGGTGCAGGTACTCTACGAGAGGAAGTCAAGGAAGAGGTGCAGGTACTCACGAGAGGAAGTCAGGTGAGAGCAGGAGGTCGTCCTCCAAGATGATGGCCTTGTCCACCTCGGGGAAGTAATTGAAGACATTGTGGACGGAGAACCTGGAGACATTACCACCAGATCGACGGAGACGGTGCCAGGAGACAGAGAAATTGATATAACTAACATGAACATTACCCAAGTAAACATAGCATATATATAGGACACAAGAGAGACGCCTGAAACAAACAGTTGAAGAGAGCCTTGCGCAGCTGGTAAGCAACCCTTTCTCTTTTGATCAATGACAAAGTCGCTATGTTTCATACTTGTATTCTAGCCATAAGTGAAAAAATGCAGTAATAATGTGAAGGAAAATGTACATATATAATATAAATGGGTCATTACCTGAAGTGCATGTTGAGAAGCGTAGCGGAGCCTGGCTCACCCTGGGGCTGGTGCACCAACACCTCCAGCCTGTGGGAACCACAACTGGTCAGATTGTAAACACCTCGTTGCTAGGATACTCCAGGCTTATCTCTGAGGATAGGAGGTGTCTGTGAGGCTAGGAGGGAGGAGGAGGCGACAGGAGAGCTGTCTGCGAGGCTAGGAAGGAGGACGGGACGACGGGAGAGGTGTCTGTGAGGCTAGGAAGGAGGAGGGGGCGACAGGAGAGGTGTCTGAGAGGGTAGGAGGGAGGAGGGGGCGACAGGAGAGGTGTCTGTGAGGCTAGGAGGGAGGAGGGAGCGACGGGAGAGCTGTCTGTAAGGCTAGGAGGGAGGAGGGGGCGACAGGAGAGCTGCCTGTGAGGCTAGGAAGGAGGAGGGGACGACAAGAGAGCCTTCTGTGAGGCTAGGAGGGAGGAGGGAGCGACGGGAGAGCTGTCTGTAAGGCTAGGAGGGAGGAGGGGGCGACAGGAGAGCTGCCTGTGAGGCTAGGAAGGAGGAGGGGACGACAAGAGAGCCTTCTGTGAGGCTAGGAGGGAGGAGGGGGCGACAGGAGAGCTGTCTGTAAGGCTAGGAGGGAGGAGGGGGCGACAGGAGAGCTGCCTGTGAGGCTAGGAAGGAGGAGGGGACGACAAGAGAGCCTTCTGTGAGGCTAGGAAGGAGGAGGGGACGACAAGAGAGCCTTCTGTGAGGCTAGGAAGGAGGAGGGGACGACGGGAGAATCCGAACTATTATGTCCGAACCACACATCAGACAATGGAGAGAGGACGGCGTTTCGGTCCGTCCTGGACCATAATCAAGTCGACCATTCTCACACTCGACTTGAGAATCAGGACGGACCGAAACGTCGTCGTCTCTCCAGCTCCTAATGCATGGGTTGGTCGTCATATCTTCAGCCACGCTATTGTGATTCATCGCTGTTAAAACGAATATAACTATCAACTGAAAAATAAAACAAATATAGGTAAAAAAACACACCCACACAGACAAGGCGTTTTGTTACAGGCAGTTAGTGAAGAACACAGTTAGTGAGAACATTATAGAGAAATATCATCACGTCAGTAGCCTCGTGCTTTGTGGATATCATTCCTCCTGCAGTATATGATGGAGTATATATAGAATATATATAGAAGTATATATAGAAGACCAGAAACCACGAGAAGACCCGCTAGATAACACCAACTATGCTAGATAACACCAGCTAGGCAAGACCAACTAAGTCAGACCAGCTAGGTAAAACGGGTTTATAGTGACTCACCCAAAGAGACGAGCCAGCCTGATGATCTCAGTGTTGGGGCCGTCTACCAGCACCAGGATGGGCGTCTGGGCGGCCCCGGGCGTCCCCAGCAGGTTCACCAGCTGCCTGAGGGCGGGGCCAACACAGATAGGGGCGCATATTTCAAATCACTTCTCAAAATAAACTTGGGCGAAGTCATTAATTGTAATTGTATTTGTGCTGCTTTTTCAACAATGTTCCCCCCTCTTTTACCTCTATTTTTATTTGTTCTCAACACATTTTATTCTTTTTACCCATTAGTTTTAAGCTTTAGTCATTAATGTTTTTCCTGCCCGAAACGCTTTGCGTAATAGTGGCTTTAGGCATTGTATGTACTAGCTCTATCTATAAAGCCAACAAACTTTGTAAAATCTCTTTATGTATGTACCTTATCTAAATAAAAATTATTATTATTATTATTATTATTATTATTATTACAAGTCAAAGTCATCGTTTCTGCCCGAAACGCTGCGCGTACTAGTGGCTTTACAAGAATGTAATTACTATGCTATGTATCCTCACAATCCCAATGTACCTTCTTGTATATATATATATATATAAATAAATAAATTACAAACGATTACACACTGACAACAACATGCAACTGGGTTGGGGAGAGAGTTTGGCATTACATTGCATTCGGAAATTTGCATTACAGGCAAATTATGATATTCAGGTTTTTCTTTAATTTTGTGGACATCAGTGCGTAATGTTTTATATGAGGGTCTCGGTAGTGCAGTTGGGTTCATTTTCGACTCACAATCGGGAATCCCAGGTTCGAATCCCAGGCAGGACAGATACAGTTGGGAATGTTTCCAATTACTTAATGCCTTTGTTCGCCTAGCAGTAACTAGGTACCCAGGAGTTAGTCAAGTGCAGTTACATCCTGAGTCAGTAGTTCGAATTTGGGGGTGACCTCAATATAAACCTAACATATATACATACACAGGCTGCTTGTCCCTGGAAAGCATAAATTATAATATAGTAAGGGGAAAAATAAACAAAACCATAAGTAGTTCAGTCTTGTTAATATGATATTGCAAGATTCATGTAGGGGTCGATTTGACACCATATCAAATGGCACTCAGTTCATTTATGCTAACTCCGACCCCTCCCACGTTGTGCACGTATCCAGCAGAAAATACTGTTAAAAAGGGGTGAGGCTAGCCCAGAGCATCTGGCTTCCAACCTTGCAGAGAAAGACAATCTAATTTATAGATGTAGAGAAATATTAACTTGATCTGTATGGTGAGAGGCCGGAGCTCTACCACTGCACCACCGTCCACATAAGCTTGAAACATATATTAGTGTATGTACATACTAGCCTAAGTGTTGACCAAACTACACACTAGAAAGTGAAGGGACGACGACGTTTCGGTCCGTCCTGGACCATTCTCAAGTCGATTACTAGCCTAGCATACACGTAGCTGACAGGTTACTGACCTGTAGAAATTGAAGGGCTTAACAGCAGTGAGCATGGCCACTGGTATGACCTCATTCATCTTGATCTCCGGCTGGAGGCGGGCATCAGCATGCAAATAAACAAAGTCAGCATAGAGATACACAAGATCAGCATGGAGTTAATAACTACTCATCCCTTGCCTAAGGAAGACAGAAATGAGCAACATGTAGTGGGTCAGTCAGAGAGGCTTTGGACCCGCATAGCAATATCCCTGCAACACAAAAATCTCCGGGGAAACTAGAGTTACAGTTTCTGGAAAGACTAAATCTCCTACCACACAGTTTGGTTTAGGGTGGAAGTAGCATAAGGCTCACTCGCTACTCTCTATGTAGGCGGGAAATAGAGACGGAAGAAACTCCATTCCGTATTGAAATTCTACACGGAATTAGTTTATTAAAGTAAGAATAGCTTCACTATTCTTACTAAACTTGGAAAAGACTCACGGCAGAGTGCCTGAGGGAGGGTGTGAGAGGCAGGCTGCAGGAACACAACGTCCGGTAGCCGTCGTAGGTGTTGCAGAAGTCCCGTTGCTCTTGCATCGTCGGGTCCTCATGCCAGCTGCACCACACGCCTGGCAACACCACACAATGGAACACACTGAGCATTGCACAATAGACGGGGGGAGGGGGGGGAAGGAATTATCAAGGGAAAGCGCCAAGCCATTACGACTATATAGCACTGGGAAGGGGTCAGGATAAGGATTTGGGATGGGACGGGGGGAAAGGAATGGTGTCCCAACCACTTGTGGACGGTCGAGGATTGAACGCCGATCTGCATGAAGCGAGACCGTCGTTCTACCGTCTAGCCAAAGTGGTTGGGTCGGGGGGGGGGGGGGGGGAATTGAACTTCAACATAATAATTATATTTCATGCACATAAACTGAATTGCAGGCCATTCTGGCTGGTTTGAATGCGTACTTCATGATGGAAAAAAGCTTTTCGTATTTGTTAATAACTGAGGAACGCTTGATACAATTAACTCAAAATTCAAATTCAATGTTTAACAGTCGAAATCCAATCTTCATTTATGTAAACAGAAATATGTGAGATAAAGCTACAAGGCCATAGAATGACGTTCATGTGTCTTCCATCTCATGTTGGGATAATGCTTAACCAGACCTATCTTGAGGTTATCTTGAGATGATTTCGGGGCTTAGCGTCCGCGCGGCCCGGTCCTCGACCAGGCCTCCTTTTTGTTACACATCCCCAGGAAGCAGCCCGTAGCAGCTGTCTAACTCCCAGGTACCTATTTACTGCTAGGTAACAGGGGGGATCAGGGTGAAAAACTTTTTGCCCATTTGTCTCCGCCTCCACCGGGGATCGAACCCGAAACCTTAGGACTACGAATCCCGAGCGCTGTCCACTCAGCTCTCAGGCCCCGTTGGAGACTTTGGAATTGGCTAAAGATCTGACTAAGTGTGTTACAGCGAGACAAGTTGATACCGAATGTGTAATCAGGAGCTTGAATTACCCAACAGGCCAATTAGGTCATGACCTATTGGGCTCTCTTGCACCGTATGGTCCCTCAGGTGTCTACATGTATGTGTTAAGCCTTTGAACAGCCACACTGACCAGAGGGTGGGGGCCCATTTATCTGTCTTTGACCCAGGGGCCCAAAAACAATCAGGGGCCAGATTCACGAAGCAGTTACGCGAGGACTTACGAACGTGTACATCTTTCCTCATGCTTTGACGGCTTTGGTTACATTTATTAAACAGTTTACAAGCATGAAAACTTGCCAATCAGGCTTGAATACAAATAATATTTGAAATATGGAACAGATGTTATGAAAATGAAAATAAGTGATTTATTTAGCATGTTAAGGTCTTACGCCTTCACCAGTTATGTTCTTGGGTCCTACCTTGTGTCCTGGGGATGTAGGTGTACTAGGCCACCCTCCCCTGGGTCCAGTACCTGCCTTGTGTCCTGGGTGTGTAGGTGTAGTGGGTCACCCTCCCCTGGGTCCAGTACCTGCCTTGTGTCCTGGGTGTGTAGGTGTAGTGGGTCACCCTCCCCTGGGTCCAGTACCTGCCTTGTGTCCTGGGTGTGTAGGTGTAGTGGGTCACCCTCCCCTGGGTCCAGTACCTGCCTTGTGTCCTGGGTGTGTAGGTGTAGTGGACCACCCCCCCCCCTGGGTCCAGTACCTGCCTTGTGTCCTGGGGGTGTAGGTGTAGTGGGTCACCCTCCCCTGTGTCCAGTACCTGCCTTGTGTCCTGGGTGTGTAGGTGTAGTGGACCACCCCCCCCCCCTGGGTCCAGTACCTGCCTTGTGTCCTGGGGGTGTAGGTGTAGTGGGTCACCCTCCCCTGGGTCCAGTACCTGCCTTGTGTCCTGGGGGTATAGGTGTACTGGGTCACCCTCCCCTGGGTCCAGTACCTGCCTTGTGTGCTGGGGGTGTAGGTGTAGTGGGTCACCCTCCCCTGTGTCCAGTACCTGCCTTGTGTCCTGGGTGTGTAGGTGTAGTGGACCACCCCCCCCCCTGGGTCCAGTACCTGCCTTGTGTCCTGGGGGTGTAGGTGTAGTGGGTCACCCTCCCCTGGGTCCAGTACCTACCTTGTGTACTAGGCACATGTGTGTGCAGGTGTAGTGGTCCACTCACAAAGCTGTCAGGTGTGTGGATAATGGCAGCAGCCTCGGCCCACACCCGCCCTCGCCACATCTGCTGTATTCATGTACCAAATAATTAATATATAAAATACATAATAATAGAATGGATAAATCTTAATTATTTGCTGAAATAATAATTAAAAATGGGAATTATTATTTGTTTTTATTGCATCTAGAAGATCGAGGGAGTCAGCCTATAAGTTTTAGCTCTTTTGAAAGAACTTTCTGCAACCCGTCTTCATGCCAGGCTCGTTAAAGCTGCCGCCATCCCCCCAGACGCATTTATCCATTTTAATATTTTGTGTATTAAAACTAGGTTTGTTCTCACTTATATATTAATATTATTATATATTAAAGTTCTATGTATAGTTAGGCGTTTATGTTCTGTTAGTGATTATTTGTATTTGAAATACGTGGCTGAAGCATTTACAATGCCTAAATATACACAGTATGATAATATATAACTATATTAATTTATATGTGAGAAAATTTTTATTTTAAATGAACATCATATTAAAATTGATGAATGCATCTTTGGGGTCGACCGCTGGATGGAATGGACGGGTTGTGTTTATGAGGACGAGCTGCCTACAACTGATGACGTTCAAACACTTCTCGAACAGTGTTTTGCTGACGTGTTTCTCTTCGAACCACAACGCTGTAAATGCTTCACCAAGGTACCTTAAACACCGTTGATTGTCACAGGTTGATTGACAGTTGTGAGGCGGGACCAAAGAGCCATAGCTCAACCCCAGCAAGCACAACTAGGTGAGTACCAATAATCGCCATCAGAACCTTAACACCAAACCTAACTATTTATAGAACTTTAATATTATATATATATATATATATATATATATACAGGGTATATATATATATATATATATATATATATATACAGGGTATATATATATATATATATATATATACAGGGTATATATATATATACAGGGTATATATATATATATATATATATATATATATATATATATATATATATATATATATATATATATATATATATATATATATATATATATATATATATATATATATATATATATATATATATATATATATATATATATATATATATATATATATATATATATATATATATATATATATATATAATGGACCACCATTACATATGGTGTACAAAGTCTCTAACTCTACCTATCCAATCCCCAAATGCCTAGTATTTAATGTAGAGTTCATTATTATATTAATATAATGTTAACTTCATGACAATGTTAAGGTAGCAGTTGATGTTGATGTATTTGAAGGTAGAATACATGCAGGATATGAAATGAGATGAAGCTATTTAGCAAACTTTTAATCTTCAACAAACGATGAAGACATCACCTCATCGTTCAAGATATACTACCTCATTGTTGGTGGATAATTGCGGGCGATGGTGATTAGTGGATAAAACGTAGGCGTCGGAGGAGAGGTTGGCGACCATGGACGTGTGGAGGGCGGAAGGTACTGCGGGAGAGGTCGGGGTGGTGGCCACCATAGCCCAGGCCTCGAAGGTGGCCAGGTTGCGGATCATAGAGGAACCCATTACTTCCAGTTCCTGCACCGCCTCTTGGCCCAGGAAGGTTACCGCGTCCGGCTGTGGGTTGAAATTGAAATTGAAATTGAAATAAGTTTATTGAGGTAAAATACACACAAAGGCTGTTGCTTGGAGCAACAGCCTAGTGGACCAAACTCTCACAAGTCAAGCCTGGCCTCGGGCCGGACTTGGGGAGTAGAAGAACTCCCAGAACCCCATCAACCAGGTATATGTGGGCCTGCGGGCCGCTCCAAGCAACAGCCTGGTGGACCAAACTCTCACAAGTCAAGCCTGGCCTCGGGCCGGGCTTGGGCAGTAGAAGAACTCCCAGAACCCCATCAAGCAGGTATATGTGGGCCTGCGGGCCGCTCCAAGCAACAGCCTGGTGGACCAAACTCTCACAAGTCAAGCCTGGCCTCGGGCCGGACTTGGGGAGTAGAAGAACTCCCAGAACCCCATCAACCAGGTATCAACCAGGTATCAACCAGCTCAAGCTATTCTCACCCTGTTCAGTACATCGAGTTAATACATACATAGACACACATCACAAGCAATAAACGTATTACCGAACATTCTGAGAGATAAACATATACATCTGGGTAGAAATAGCCTAAGCTACTCTATCCCTTCGAGATGTATTTTCTTGTCTCAGTAAACATACACGACATCAACTCTAAACATGAAACAAACTTATGGTGTAAACAATAACTATTAAAAGCCAGGGTGATGAGCAGCATCAATGCTGGCACATCTACAACCCAAAATTATTTTCGACTCCTAGGAGCCAGATTCACGAAAGCACTTACGAATCTGTACATTTTTTCTCAATCTTTGGCGGCTTTGTTTACAATTATTAAACAGTTAATGAGCTCCAAAGCACCAGGAGGCTGTTTATAACAATAACAACAGTTGATTGGCAAGTTTTCATGCTTGTAAACTGTTTAATAAATGTAACCAAAGCCGTCAAAGATTGAGGAAAGATGTACACGTTCGTAAGTGCTTGCGTAAGTGCTTTCGTGAATCTGGCCCCGAATTTGGGCGCGTTTTGAGAGATTTTTGGCGCCCGCCGCCCGCGTTTTTTGAGATATTTGACTATAAATTAACACTTAAATCAACAAACAATAACAAACTCCAGTCCCAGACAATATTCAACAACTTCATTGAGTTTTTTTTTTATTATATTAAATATCAGGAGAGCGATTTATCCAAAGTAGAAAAGCGTTGCAAATCAAAGAATCCTAAACTGTGGAATGAGACCCAATTAGTTATTGGCTTCAGTAATTTATACTTAATAATTAGTTCAACGTGTCGAGGGACAGGCAGCCAGTATATATATACAGTACATGTTAGGCCTAAATCAAGGCCTTCCCGGGGGTCGAACCTGCATCCTGGGATCCTTATCAGTTTGCAGCCCCCCAACAAGCTGACAAACGCCTGGATACCTATTTATTGCTAGGTGGACAGGAGCATTAGGTGATAGGAAATGCGCCCGACCACTTCTGTCCCGGCCGGGATTCGAACCCGGAATTCTGGATTGTGAGTCGAGGAGTTCAACCGGCAGGTTTCCCGGTAATTGATCACATACTGAAATTGGAGGCAGGGAGAGAACTATCAGGGGAAAGCGCCAAGCCATTATGACTATATAGCACTGGGAAGGGGTCAGGATAAGGCTTTGGAATGGGACGGGGGGAAAGGAATGGTGCCCAACCACTTATGGACGATCGAGGGGATTGAACGCCGACCTGCATGAAGCCAGACCGTCGCTCTACCGTCCAGCCCAAGTGGTGGGACCACATGAGAGTGAATATAGAACATGGTATAGCGGCGGGACTCACCACGGCAGCGACGACGAGGACTCGGCCGGGCATGAGGGAGAGGAGGCAGGAGGCCAGGTTGCGGTGCTCGGCCGGCTGGTGTGTGAGGAAGTGTCTGGAGAGTAGGGCGTGGCCGCCGCCGCCCCCAGCTGCCTCCAGGACCACCACGTGCACCCCGGCGTGGCCCGGGGACCCCTGCGGCGTCACACCCTGCTTCTCGTACACCTGCCGGGGTCCCACGCGGTATACACGGGCGCCAGGGTCACAAACAGGTGGGCCAGGTTCAGAAACAGGTGGGCCAGGGTCACAAACAGGTGGGCCAGGTTCACAAACAGGTGGGCCAGGTTCACAAACAGATGGGCCAGGGTCACAAACAGGTGGACCAGGGTCACAAACAGGTGGGTGACGGACACAAACAGGTGGGTGAGGGACACAAACAGGTGGGTGAGGGACAGACAATTAAGTGGATGAGGGACTTATATAGCTCATAAATGATTTTATGTACTTTTACCTGAATAAAAATTTGAATTTGGACTGCCCACTTCCCCAATATTAGTACCTAAGACATATTACCATTGTAATCACCTCTCTTAACTTATGTTTTAGTTATTTGAGGATATAAAACCCTTGCTACAATGTGCCCTTTTATCATTTCTTAGGTTTATATCGGGGTCCCACAAGGACACACTAGGGGACCGCCCCCTGGTGCGTTACTCTGAGGGACTGTCCCCTGGTGCGTTACTCTGAGGGACTGTCCCCTGGTGTGTTACTCTGAGGGACTGTCCCCTGGTGTGTTACTCTGAGGGACTGTCCCCTGGTGCGTTACTCTGAGGGACTGTCCCCTGGTGTCTTACTCTGAGGGACTGTCCCCTGGTGTGTTACTCTGAGGGACTGTCCCCTGGTGCGTTACTCTGAGGGACTGTCCCCTGGTGCGTTACTCTGAGGGACTGTCCCCTGGTGTCTTACTCTGAGGGACTGTCCCCTGGTGCGTTACTCTGAGGGACTGTCCCCTGGTGCGTTACTCTGAGGGACTGTCCCCTGGTGTCTTACTCTGAGGGACTGTCCCCTGGTGCGTTACTCTGAGGGACTGTCCCCTGGTGCGTTACTCTGAGGGAGTGTCCCCTGGTGCGTTACTCTGAGGGACTGTCCCCTGGTGCGTTACTCTGAGGGACGGTCCCCTGGTGCGTTACTCTGAGGGACTGTCCCCTGGTGCGTTACTCTGAGGGACTGTCCCCTGGTGCGTTACTCTGAGGGACTGTCCCCTGGTGCGTTACTCTGAAGGACTGTCCCCTGGTGCGTTACTCTGAGGGACTGTCCCCTGGTGCGTTACTCTGAGGGACTGTCCCCTGGTGTCTTACTCTGAGGGACTGTCCCCTGGTGCGTTACTCTGAGGGACTGTCCCCTGGTGCGTTACTCTGAGGGACTGTCCCCTGGTGTCTTACTCTGAGGGACTGTCCCCTGGTGCGTTACTCTGAGGGACTGTCCCCTGGTGCGTTACTCTGAGGGAGTGTCCCCTGGTGCGTTACTCTGAGGGACGGTCCCCTGGTGCGTTACTCTGAGGGACGGTCCCCTGGTGCGTTACTCTGAGGGACTGTCCCCTGGTGCGTTACTCTGAGGGACTGTCCCCTGGTGCGTTACTCTGAGGGACTGTCCCCTGGTGCGTTACTCTGAGGGACGGTCCCCTGGTGCGTTACTCTGAGGGACTGTCCCCTGGTGCGTTACTCTGAGGGACTGTCCCCTGGTGCGTTACTCTGAGGGACTGTCCCCTGGTGCGTTACTCTGAGGGACTGTCCCCTGGTGCGTTACTCTGAGGGACTGTCCCCTGGTGCGTTACTCTGAGGGACTGTCCCCTGGTGCGTTACTCTGAGGGACTGTCCCCTGGTGCGTTACTCTGAGGGACTGTCCCCTGGTGCGTTACTCTGAGGGACTGTCCCCTGGTGCGTTACTCTGAAGGACTGTCCCCTGGTGCGTTACTCTGAGGGACTGTCCCCTGGTGTGTACAGACGACATAACTCACCATAGTTGTGTCTCTGTAGACCTGAATGGTGTGTTTGTTGATCTCAACGCGGACCTGAAACATGGCCGCCTCCAGGTCTGCAAGGGGGAGTTAAGTCTACAGTAATTCCAAAAGAAAATCACGGGAAAACTGAAGGAATGGTTGAATGAAGTTAGCATAATTATTTCAAAATTTGTTAATGGCAAAATAATCTCCGTGTAACATTTGATTTAGTGATTGAATGTTGAAGTATTTTCAGCAACTAGTTAATATATTTCTTGCATGACCTGATCTGTATGACACTGAGTGATACATATCATACTGTAAAGAAATGAAAATTTTTTAATCAATTTAGGGTAGTATCCGCTAATATACGGGAGAAAATGTGAAAAGCATGGTAATGGGTAACTTAAATAACATGCGTAAATACAATAAAGCATGAATAAAATGTGTCTACGTACATATTGCTTTAGTTAAGACAGAGAGGCTAACAAAACTAACTAAGGGTCGGAAGGTGGACCTGACCAAGGAGGGAACAGAAGCATGATTAATATGAGAGGAGAAAATAGCCATCTTGCAAGTAAAATACATATTGAATAATTTCAAAAAGATTCAACTGGCCAACAAGTATTACAGGGACGGTTAATCTGTAAACATTAACACACCATTTCCAGGTGTAACTAACCTTGCATGACACGTAAGGCCGTCATGTTAACCGGGTGTAGCGAGCGATCCTCTGTAAGGAGAGACGAATTTAATGTCCGAAGGTATTAAGTCAGACTGTAATATCTCCAGCTCTCAGATCTGGAAACAACAATCATTGTAAAAATAATTCTCAGAGCCACGTTAGAAACGCGGTTTTCTTAAATGCCATTTCTTTTGAAAATAGTGTTTAAACAATGTTGTTGTTGTTGTTTAGATAGAGAGAGAGAGAGAGAAGAGAGAGAGAGAGGAGAGAGAGCGAGAGAGAGAGAGAGAGAGAGAGAGAGAGAGAGAGAGAGAGAGAGAGAGAGAGAGAGAGAGAGAGAGAGAGAGAGAGAGAGAGAGAGAGAGAGAGAGCGAGAGAGAGAGCGAGCGAGAGCGAGAGAGAGAGAGAGAGAGGAGAGAGAGAGAGAGAGAGAGAGAGAGAGAGCAGAGAGAGAGAGAGAGAGAGAGAGAGAGAGCGAGAGAGAGAGAGAGAGAGAGAGAGAGAGAGAGAGAGAGAGAGAGAGAGAGAGAGAGAGAGAGAGCGAGACGAGAGCGAGCGAGAGCGAGAGCGAGAGCAGACGAGAGAGAGAGAGAGAGAGAGAGAGAGAGAGTAAGAGAGACAGAGAGAGAGTGAGAGACAGACAGACAGACAGACAGACAGACAGACAGACAGACAGACAGACAGACAGACAGACAGACAGACAGACAGACAGACAGACAGACAGACAGACAGAGGGTGTAAGTTTCTCTGAATGTGAATAGGTGCACAATTTGCTTAATTTCTTGTTAAAGATGTGTGTGTTTAAATTCAGCATTAAGCTTTACCAAACACTTGAGCTCAAAATAACTATCTATGAGAGAAAGATACGCAGACGGTATGAACAGTGTAACTGTAAGTAAACAAATTTTATACACAAATTACAATTTTTTAGTAAATCTGGAATTCAAATCAGTCATCAATAAATACATACAAAAGAAAATAAATACACAGGCACCTCTTGAAAGAGTTCTTTCTGGAGGAAAACCGCTGGAATATATATACACAATTAGTCAAAGGGTTTTGTGTGATTATATAGTTCAACTCTGAATCAGCATGTGTAGAAAACGGTGGGGGTAAACAGAACATTCCTAACCCAGAGAAATGTTTGAGAGTCAAATTACAGAAATATTAATCAAATCAAGTGTGATAGTCTGCTTGTCTACAGTGTGAATACGGACATAAAAGAACGGAAGTTAATGGGTAATTTGATCCTGTTCTACACGCATAGTTAGTCCAAATAATAAATTATATAGTGCTTATCAGTCTGACTTTGCGGAATACATTTGGACACCACAGAACGAAATTTATTCTAACTTGTCCTAATGGTAGAGGTCTTCCAACGTGAGGATGTAAAATTATATGCAGGCATACCAAGGCTTCGAGGGCAACTAAGAGATTTAAAACCCACTTAAATTTTGATTTCATATTATTAATATGAATTATCGTAGCCTAAATTAGCCTAGGTCTCAAAATCCGGGCCCCCTTCCCCTCTTAAGCTACAAAATAGAAGCTCAGGAGAGCCCCGTGTATCTAGAAGGGCTTATACCCTGTTAGTGAAGATCTGTACCAAGAGTGTACCAAGACTGTACCTGGACGAAGAGAATATGCAGTTTGATTGTGATTTTTTCGGGGGGTTTATGAGGCTATTTATGCTCACTCTTCGCAATTCCTCATAGCTTTCAAAACTCGGGTAACTCACATGAGAAGCAGGGGAATGCTAACTCACCTCTGGACCACAGGAAAACCAATCTCACCTGCGATCATTCTCCACTTGATGGGGAAGCTGTCTCTGACGAGTGGGTGCCGAGTGCCTATTATTAGCCGAGTTGTAATGAGTAGAGTGCCTATTAGGCACCACAGTCGCACTACAACCATCAAACTCATTACTAGTTGGTGGTTGATGCTAGTGGTGGTTGTTTTGGTAGTGGGGGGTTGTTTGTTGCAATGGTTGTTGGTAAGCAAATCCACCAGGGCCGTGACAAGGATTCGAACCTGCGTCCGGGAGCATCCCAGACACTGCCTTAATCGACTGAGATTCTTGGTAGTGATGGCGTGTAAATTTTCCTGATAGATACGCGTGTCTTAATATTTTTCAACTTCAATTCATTAATGTTTGTGATCTCATTTAGTTTTAAATTACCCCCCAATGGGCTTCTATATTGTTCACTGCTTTGTTCCACATTATGCCCAAAATGCTCTACGAATTAGTGGCTTTAGGCATTGTCTTCCTTAGGAATTCTCCATTGTTCTTGTATCCTAATGTTAGTATGTATGTACTTTTAACTAAGTAAATTATTATCATTATTATTATTATACAAAATAAATCGGTAGTGCTTCAGGTGGTAGAATGTAAAGTGAATCACTTATACACACTTTTCAGTTTTTATGTTACTTATGGCGTTCGAAAAACAGTTTTTACTTAAATGGATGAATCTTTTGTTCTTAGTCACCTACTGTGTTTTGTTAACCATTACTACCTTTTCAAGTGTGACAGGTGCACTGTGGGAACATTGTGTCACTGTCAACTGTGACAGCTGCCCCGTGGGAACCTTGTGTCACTGTCAACTGTGACAGCTGCACCGTGGGAACCTTGTGTCACTGTCAACTGTGACAGCTGCACCGTGGGAACCTTGTGTCACTGTCAATTGTGACAGCTGCCCCGTGGGAAACTTGTGTCACTGTCAACTGTGACAGCTGCACCGTGGGAACCTTGTGTCACTGTCAATTGTGACAGCTGCACCGTGGGAACCTTGTGTCACTGTCAATTGTGACAGCTGCCCCGTGGGAACCTTGTGTCACTGTCAACTGTGACAGCTGCACCGTGGGAACCTTGTGTCACTGTCAATTGTGACAGCTGCACCGTGGGAACCTTGTGTCACTGTCAATTGTGACAGCTGCCCCGTGGGAAACTTGTGTCACTGTCAACTGTGACAACTGCACTGTGGGAACCTTGTGTCACTGTCAATAGTGACAGCTGCCCCGTGGGAACCTTGTGTCACCGTCACACCGTGGGAACTTTGTCACTGTCACACTCAGATCGCATGGTACTGCTCTGCCAGTTATTTAAGGTCGAGGGAGGGGAACATTGGACAAACCACCGGCTTCCTGTCCCCGTCGAGGCCACTAAAGATCGTGACCTTCAGGTAAATTGAGGTAAATATTGTAATGGTGTTTCTTAAGACACCAACCCACTGCCGGCGACTTCACCTTCACACTGAGAGGTACAGCAGCTACTCTTCCGGGTCTAAGACCTGAGAAATATATGTAGCTCTCTACGTCATCGCTACTCTATAAACAATCCTAGCCTAACCCAACCCAGCCTAAGATATCCTAACTTATAACGTAACCTAACCGAACCTATCGTAATCTAACATAATCCTAACAAATATAAGAGATGAAGTTGTTTTATATGTATATATGTGTGTGTTTTCACGAGGTGTGTGACGTCATTATGACGTCATAATGGTCATGCCGGTACAGAATTTAGACCCTACTCGGCTAATTTGTGTTTGAATTTAGACCTTGATGACGTGGAATACTGACTCTGTTTTTCCTCGTTCCACATCTCCCGCTGGCATATAATTACTCTCTTCGCTGTAGATTCCTTTATGCACCTGCATATACTACGAAATTTAGCTGGAAGCATTTATTTATTTATTTATTATAAAGGTGTACCACCTCTGATGAAATTGTAGGGGTCCATAGCCTTGGAGAAGGGAATAAAGAGCATTCAGGGGGAAAACTTGCCATTTAACTCTAAATATGTATAATAATTCACTACGTCGCGGGACAGGAAGCCAGAGTGTATGCATATACGTTGTGGCTTTTATCGAGGTCCTTCTCTCCCCGCTAAGGCTGAATTACTGACCACGCCCAGGATGCAACCCCCAAAACAAGCTGATTCCTTCACCTACTCACTGCTAGGTGAACAGAGGCATTAGGTGAAAGTAAATGTGCTCGGCCATTTCTATCCCGCCCGGGATTCGAACCCGGAATTCTTGATTATACGTCAAGGACGAACCCGACTGTGGACCCTTACCAAAGGCGTGTTCACTTCTCCTACCAGAAGTTTAGTTTAGTTTAGTTCATTTATTATGCACCCCATATATTTTATATTATTTATGTATTATACATTGTATTAAACCTTTTATATTAGTCTTGTTTATATTTTTGTTTTGTATTTCTATATCTTGTGTTTTGTATAGTCCATGTTTATATGTTTTTTCGTTAATCTCATTTATTACCTAGGTTGCCTAGCCTAGCCATACTCCCTTACTCCATTGTACCCCTGTAAGCCCCTTTTGAGTTTGCTTTGTTCTGTATTGTGTACATCTTTTTCCCTATTTTATAGCTTATTTCTACCTTGTTATTTGCCTTTCTTCCCTTGTTTTTCCTGCAATCAGTTTTTTTTATGCAGACAAGTATAGACCCTGAACTTAACCTCTTATCCACTATCTATGACAATTATCACTTTAATGATCTAAATTGCAGATATTTTGCAGCACATGATGTAAACAATGTATTAACTCATAATCACAATATCTCTGTAATCAATTTGAACGTTAGATCCCTAGGTAAACACTTCGATGATGTTAGTGCCTTGATTGAAGCTATTGACAACAAATTCTCTTTTATTATACTTACTGAAACATGGTTGAAAGAGGATACTACTCAGCTCTTTAACATGCCTAACTACTCAGCAATTCACAACTGTCGTCAAATTCAGAGAGGTGGTGGCACTGCTCTTTACTACCACCAAGAACTAACATGCTTAAAAGAAATTAGAACCAGAGACTGCTATGGGGAGTATATCTTCGCCAGCTTCAGAGTCAAGGGTGCCGAGTCTGTCCTGACTGTGGGTGCAGTTTATAGAATTCCTAACACTGATGTGTCCGAATTCAACTCAAACCTTAGAAATCTAATACTTGATAACAGACTGAACAAAAACCACCTAATTATCGCAGGGGACTTTAATATTGACCTCTGCGAGCCTGAACACCCCACTGCTGTTAGCTTCCTCAACTGTATGAATTCCTGCTTCCTCATACCCTTAATCACTAGACCTACTAGAATCACTGATAGTACTGCCACGACGCTCGATCACATCTGGACAAACATAACCTCTCCGCTTACTTCAGGTATATTCACCGATAGCACTACAGATCATTACCCCACATTTCTCTTAACTAACATTAGCAAACCACCTCTTGAGTCAAGAGTGATACGTTTTAGACTACACAATGAAACTGCTATAGACAATTTTATAACTGCTGCTGATAATGTCAACTGGGAGTCCGAGTTAGGTAACATAGTGGACATCAACCTTGCAGTACAACCTTTTCTTCAAAAAACTCTTAGCCTTTATAATACCCACTGTCCTATGCTTACAAAACAAGTCACAACCAAAAGGCTTAACAATCCCTGGCTTACAAAGGGAATACTTAAATCTATTAATAAAAAACATGACCTTGAGAAGAAGTATAGGTTAGGAATTGTCTCCAAAGAATTCTCAAAGAATTACTCATTATTGCTGTCTAAGATAATTAGACGAGCCAAAACTAAATACTACGAAGATAAATTTACCCAAATAAAGAGCAACATTAAACAAACTTGGAGAACAATTTCTCAAATATTGGGATCAAAGAAGTCTTTAAATAACAAACCGACTCTCCTGACTAATAACGATGGTCAGCTTTCAGCCTCTGATTCTGCTACTGAGTTCAATAGGTTCTTCTCTTCCATTGGTTCATCCCTTGCAAATGATATTCCATCTTCCAGTACAGACATTAATGACTATCTTTCAGGTAACTATCCACAGTCTCTGTACCTAAAGCCTATTAATTCCACTGACGTCAATGAGATAATCCTTTCCCTTAAAACCAAGTCTGGTGCCCTTGAGGAGATACCAACTTTAATTTACAAAAAAGCCTCCAGATCTTTAGCCCCTGCTATTGCTTTGCTCTTCAACAAGTCACTTGAACTCCAAACCTTCCCAGATATTCTAAAAAAAGCGAGAGTAACGCCTGTCCACAAATGTGGTAATCTCACAGATGTTAACAACTACAGACCTATATCTATCCTGCCAAACTTGTCAAAAATTTTTGAAAAACTAATCTATAAGCAGCTTTACTCATATCTAGCCAAACTCAATATACTTAGCCCTTGCCAATATGGCTTCAGACCCAAAAAAAGCACTAACGATGCACTTATTAGTATGCTTAACTCGATTCATACAGCTCTTGATAAAAATGAGTTCCCTGTTGGGTTGTTTGTGGACCTGCGTAAAGCTTTTGACACTGTCAACCACCAAAACCTTCTTCTTAAATTACATCATTATGGAGTCAGAGGACACTCCCTACAATACCTCAAATCCTACCTTACTGACAGGCTCCAATATGTTTCTGTGAATAATACAATTTCTCCCACCCTACCCATCAACATTGGTGTTCCCCAGGGCAGCATACTTGGCCCTCTCCTCTTTCTCATCTACATTAATGACCTTCCAAATGCCTCCCAACACCTCAAACCAATTCTATTTGCTGACGACACAACCTTCATTTACTCCAGTCCTGATCCCCTTGCTCTAAATGCCACAGTAAATACTGAGCTAAATAAAGTCCATCTGTGGCTAACTGCCAACAAACTCACCCTTAACATTGACAAAACCTTTTATATTCTGTTTGGCAATAAATCCTCTAATCAAATAAATCTCAAAATAAACAATACCCAAATTTGTAACAAATTAGATGGCAAATTCCTTGGCATTCTCATTGACCAGAAGCTTAATTTCCAGGGACACATTCTAAACATATCAAAAAAAGTTTCAAAAACTGTGGGCATTCTTTCTAAGATCAGATATTATGTACCTCGCCCTGCCCTGGTGACTCTCTATTACTCCCTTATCTATCCATATCTCAACTATGGTATTTGTGCTTGGGGCTCTACTACCCAAAATCACTTACGTCCTCTAATTACTCAACACAAAGCTGCTATTAGGACAATATCCAATTCTGGCCCCAGACATCACTCGGTACCCCTACTTAAATCTCTGAATATGTTAGACATTAAGTCACTGCACATTCTCTCATGTGTATTATACATATATAAAACGCTAAACTATAATGCCAATCCTGATCTCAAAAGCTTCATAGAATATTTATGTTGTACACTTTATTATACACGGTTACATAGTTAAGTTACATATCTGACTGGTTACAAAACGTGGATATTAAGAGGAAATGAAGGGAAGTTTATTGATTTATTTATACAGAATTGTATATTGAATTAAATTCTACATTGAATTGTG